AAAAGTGGATAATGCACCAGCATATTACACAATAAAAATGTTGTCGTAACAGTTTCGATGGGTCGTGAATCCGTAGAAGGTGATCTGAGAAGTTGAAGACTCAAAAGAGCAACAAATTTAATGATGAAATGACTCAAATTGAAGCCATGCTTCTCGAAGATCATCGTGTGAAGGTAATCTAACCTTAGTATGGCATTGATTATATCGGAACCCAGCATAAAAACCATCTCGCACGACGATTTGAATATGAGTAAGATATCGGAGTACGTGGATCTTTGAGTATGATCCCGATACAAAGAGGCAATCTTGCGAGTGGCACACGGTGGCGTCTCCTCGCCCAAAAAAGGGAAGAATGAGCAAATCCAAAGTGAAAACGATGCTCATTGTCTTTTTTGACATCAAAGGCATCGACCACCATGAATTTGTTCCTCTGGACAAACCGTCAACTGCCAAGTTTTACGTGGAAGTGCTCAGGAGACTCAAAAGAAGGTCAGTCGGGTCCGACAAGACATCGCAGCCGACTGGAAGTCGCACCACGACAACGCCCCGGCTCACACCGCCTTTCTTGTGAACATCTTCCTGACCAAGGCCGGCATCTCAACGCTTCCGCAGCCGCCCTACAGCCCAGATGTGCCCCCCCGGACTTTTTTTTGTTTCCTCGCCTGAAAAGGCCGATGAAAGGCAAGCATTGTGAGACGACAGAGGGGATCCAAGCAGCATGCACCGCGGCTCTCAAGGCTATCCGGAGAATGCCTTCCGTGACGCCTTCAATGCTTGGAAATCGCGCTGGCAGCGCTGCATCGACGCAGAAGGAGCCTATTTTGGAAGTTTTTAAAGAAGTCCTATTACTTTCCGGACAAACCCTGTATATGGAAACAGGGTCTGTCTGACAGGCACATCGCGCGACAGCATCATGGAGTCTGTTGACATAGCGGTTCAAGAAAGCTAGATAACCGACGGCCCGCCGGTGCGAAAGGGTTACAAGACTGTCTGTTAGAGAATAGTCATCAATCAGTTGCACAGCCCTCCTCTGAACAGCATCGAGCTCCCCAAGTATGTGAGCAGTACTCGGGCGCTATTTCTTATTTGGGCCTTGTACAGAGTGAGAAGGTTATCACTGATATCTTCAGCTTTAACGGTATATGAGGCTGTGTATTATAAAATTCAACATACCACATACTCATGTAGCAAGTAGCATTAGAAATTTTTATTTAAATCTTAAATGTCACCTTAGAATAGTTTCTAAAAATAGGCTGCATTGTAAATATGGAATAGACGGTATCTATTGCAGCTTAAAAAATCTTGCCACTTCATTTTATTAAACAGGAAATCATCGGGCATAGCCTTGCATACCCACCATTAAATCTCGACTGAACAGTAGAGAGATAGTCGAATACCCACAATGAAATAATGAAGTTATAGTACGATCGAAGTGGTTAAATAATAAACATTTTAGGTTGTACTTTAAAAGAGGCATTTACTGCCAGTCTTCACCTGTCAATATCTTGCATTTCGTTGATATGAACAAATACTCCCAATGTATATTAAGTATACATCATTTACACTATTCACACATAAGGCTTGTTCAAATCTACTTTTCTCCTTATCAGTTCGATCAACTGGGGGTTAGTAAGTTCAATCAATTTTATGAATCTACGTAAGGTATACTGTGTATACAATCACATTGTACGGAACGTTTACGAAACTGATATGGAATGGAAACGGAATGTATAGTGAGAATCAACGTTAATGTGCATACACACGCAATAGCCTGCTTTAAGCGAAGGCGAATATTTAATTTCAATAATTTACGGAACGGTTACGGAATGGAAACGGAATGTATAGTGAGAATCAACCTTTATGCGGCACTTTGAATTAGAGATTAGAGTTCCATTTTCATTCAAACTTCTGCTGGACCTATAGCCTTTTCCACGAGTAACCATTACGGTAGAACGATTATCTGGTAGTATTTCAAATTTCCCCATATCGACAAAGGGCACATAATACCCTATTTCACGAGTATCCATCACGCTTTGACGACTACTGAGATAAATAGCTGATCAGCAAGTGACATTTTTGTATTGGTCTTCAACATTGGCAATAATGAATTGGGTATACATCTAGTAAAATTTGTTTGTGACACTTTGTTTTTTGTATGCAAATGAACTTTTCTAAATTAAAAAGCTGTTGTTAGCAGGTACAAAATGAATGTGTAGCGTACAAAAAACCAAAACAAACACGAATTCGTCAGAATTATGTCCTGTGCCGATATGGGGAATTTTGAGATATTACTACTACTACTACTACTACATTCTACCGTGATGGATACTCGTGAAATAGGGTATAATTCTGATGGATCCGCCAATGCCAGGTAGTCAAAACTATATTTAGTTTAGTTTTTTTGTACGCTACAGATTCATTTTGTAAAGTCAGCTTCAAATATTAAAAAAGAGGAAGATAAAATAAAACCCGGTAATGAATCACAACAGCAATTCGAAATTCATGAAAGTACAGATAAACAGAGAGCAAAACCTTCTCAGGAAGCTATGAAAAATAAGATTGCTCTACTCGAAAAAAATCTGAATGCTTTGTATTCTGCCAGAGATACTATGCCAAGCCGTGCTGAAGTTGATAAACAGATCATTAAGTTGCGCGACGAAATAAAAACAGCAAAACAGTCTTTAAACAGGAAGGTTCAAAACGCAGTTGCCCAGAAGAAACACAGGGATGGTATGAAAAGAAAGAAGATATTTTCCATGAAAATCCAGAAATAAAAAAAAAGACTCTCTGAGGGATTCAGTGGGACGTCCTAATCTTGAAAGCAATCAACATTCACTATTGAAAACAATCGCGGATATAGCTTTATTTGGGAGTGCAGCAAATGATAGAAGACGAACGGAATCAATTCGCAGCGTAAAAACTCTTGGTGAACTCACACAAAAATTACGTAAAATAGGATTTGACATTAGTCGCAGTGGGACATATCTTCGTTTGATTCCCAGAAAATCTAATTCTGCAGAGGGACGAAGACATGTATCGTCAGTCCCTGTTAAGCTCATTCGGGCTCAAACTGATCACCACAAGAGCCACTTAGATAGCAAGTTCACTGAAACATCAATCCATTATTTAGAGAACATAGCATCCATACTTGGTCCAGATCAAGTACTCATATCTCAAGATGATCAAGCTCGAGTCCCTATTAGCGTAACTGCGGCAAATAAGCAAGCACCTCTTCTAGTCCACATGGAATATAGAATCAAATTGCCTGATCACGATTGGGTAATCGCTGAGCGTCATAAATTAATACCATCTGTTTATGCTAGGACAACCGCAAGCCGTTGGATATTCTGGACCAACATACATCGCTATTCGAAGTGGAAAGCATAATTCATCTACTGCTGATACTCATGCTCAGGATTTCGAGACGCTTCTCGAACTTGAAGAGTTTCGACCAGTAGCTAAAACTGACCATGGACTAGACTAGTAAAACCAGTGGTAATCATGACGGTTCATGGAGGGCCAGATGAAAATCCACGTTATCAAAAAGTCATAGGGTTTGCTATACGGGTGAATATCAGGTATTTGGGTTTTTAGTGGTACCTAAGAAAAATTACTCATTTCAGTTTCATATTCATTACCTCTTAAGATTATACTATTTGTGATGCATCTTTGACAGGACCAGATAGTTTTTTGATTTTTAGAGTTTTTACAGCTACCAGGTGAAAATGTGTAGTCAGGGGAGTGACACTATACACAGGGTAGTGACAAACTGAGACAGAAGAGTGACAACTTCTCATGTGAATGATCTTAAAGGACACTTTATAAAAGAATATAAATACCAATAGGTAAATAAGTTATTGAAAATAACAAAATCCTACATGTTCTATTAGTCTCTTAAAAAATAACATTTGGATCAACTGAGTGAACCCTGCTCTCACAAGAACTAATATAAATAAAAACCACTATAGCTGTTTATATCTTGCAACTTAATATAGATAGCAATGTAGGTACCTGAGTAATAATAATAATAATAATAATAGAAATAAAATTATAAAAACTTAAAACAAAAAATTGACATAATACTTATGGTCAGTCTTTGAATCGCAATCAGTGCTTATAAATAAAAAATGGTAGCTAGCATAAAAATAAAATTAACATAGGTATAACCCGATTTTTTATGAATTCGAGTAGATACTCATTTTTCGAATACAGGTATAGGAGTGTGAATTTATAAAATAATCTATTTCCTCTCATTACTATATTTGGCACCGGCAGTCTTTCTAATACTTTTCCAAATTTATGTCGGAAATGTCATGCGATAGATAGTAATTTAGCATTGCTTGAAAACTCATAAAGCCTATAATTTTCGTTCTTCTTAAAGAGAGCAAAATCAACTCCATATTTGCATGAATTACACACAAGCATTTTTCTCTGCTATGAACGTTTGGATATACAGTCCAAAAAGGTCTCAAACGTCAAAATGAAGTATAACTTATCGGTACTCCTTTGTTTTTAACGAACCGTTCGTGTAAATGCTTCATTGAGTCTAGTAAAACCCTCTTTTGTTTTTTACTTTGTTTTTCTTAATGTAGTCATTTTTTCCTGCGCATAAGCGACTGTTGCAGTCTCCTTCAAAAAAAATTTTAATTACGTTCTTTATCTTCTCTCTAGTTTCATTCATTCTTGTTCTCCTTGTCACGTCTATCAAACCTCTCCCACAGTGGGTTATCGTTTCACAGGCTTAATATCAATTTGACTTAAAACATTGTACTTTCTGACAAACCTACCTCAATACTTTACGTGTCTTCTCATTTTTCTTTTTGGTATGCTTTATATTTTCTTTTAGTTGATTTTGAACTACCTTACTGAATGACAGATGCTTCTTCCACGTTCTCCTGATTACTTGGTTTCGTTTTTTTTTTTTTTTAGTAATCGGTCCACTTTCGACTTTGGTGACATTTTTAGACCTCTTACGTGATCTAGTTTCCTTTGAAATCTCTTCACCGATCAATTTCGTTTTTTTGTTTTTTGATAAGCTCATTTATCCGTTTCCTCTGTTTTTCTGAGGCACCTGAAGCTCTATTGTCCAATATTTGAGGATCGAAGTGTGGATCTTCATGGTCCGAAGGCGGCGGTGACTCTGGATAATTAACAATAGTTGTTTGCCTCACACGATCCCTATATCTTTCAGTTTGCTCTCTCCATATCTTTCTCATAGCTCGCTGTTCCCTATCTGTCAGATCTTTTATACTTCTAACTTGTACTTTCTCCTCCTTTCTGTGATACTTCTCTTTTTCTTTTTCTTTTAACTCAGCATTCTTGATTGGATCATTTTTAATTCGCTGGTCGCGTGGTCTTTCTGCTTGGCGTTTTTTCTCCAATCTTTACTCTCGGGTTTGCTTTTTTATAATTTTGCCATTTTAGCGAGTTCTGTTTTTTTTGGTATCTGAAATTAATGAAATAGTTCTATACCACATTCAACTTCAAGAGCAGGAAGCAGGCCCCTCAGAGCCGTAAGCTGGGCCAGGCAACTTCTTAGGTGCAGCCCGCTGATTGATGTAACAGATTGGTATGAACACTGACAATGAGCGTTTGATCACTGAATACGGCCCTAGGCGTCTGGCCGTGTCTGGCCCGGCCCCTCATGCCTGACCTATTTCAGATCTACTGCCTCTTGAAGTTGAATTTGGTATAGTAGCTACACATCTTATACAAAAAGGTGCCTTTGTATTTCCCCTGGGCAGTGTGTATTTCCCCTGACTTAAAAAATGCCAGGGGAGTGACGCCAGGGAAGTGACAAAAACGTGCGTAAGCCCCAAAAAAGCAAGATATGTTGATTATTATATTATTTTAACGTGATTCGTGGCTTTTGTATTAAAAAATCTTAATTTTTTATAAAGTCGCAAAAATGTAACTTTTAAATTCACAAAGATATGCTTACCAGGGGAAATGCTTCACTCACTGGCAAAAGGGTATCGGACGACTGTTAGTGGGCTACTGACGCGTCCCTGGTCTTCGTTTTCCAAATCATGATAGTTTCGCACTATCCCTTCTTCATTTGCTACTTGCTGCTCAAGGTAAAGTCGCATAGTTGCCATATTTTGATGAATATATGCAATTTGAATTGCGCCAGGTGAGGGTGACACTGTTCTCAGGAACCACTAATAAACGGGATTTTTTACGCATTTATGTATATTTTTAGTGTGCCTTTTGCGAAAATATGTTATCAGATGTATTAGGTAATACAAAGAGTATCCGTTTATTGTTATACCAGTACATAATACAGAGATTTGTTGATGTTTGTAGTGAAAATTGGGAATGGAACATGCCAGGGGAGTATACATTTTGTTAACTTTCAATCAGATTTTTCATAAATCTTAATGGTTAGCTCAATTTCGCCATATGTTCCAACTAAAGATTGACATCTTCCACTATTTGGATGGTCTATTTCCACAATTTGTCCATTGGATTAAGATTTTTTTGCAGGAACATTGAATTCCCCAATAACTGATATTCACCCATACAACACTTTAAGCGACATGATCTCGATGCATTGTTTTTAGCTACCAATGCTCCTGGAAGAAGTGCATATAACAGAGTAGAGCGCAGAATGGCTCCTCTTGGTCGGGAACTGGCTGGTTTAATATTGCCTCATGACCATTTTGGGTCTCATTTGGATGAACGTGGCGTTACAATTATTGATGAACATTTAGAAAGATCTAATTTCGAATTTGCAGTTCAATGGAAATTGATGGCTATAATGTTAATGCAAAATATGTTGGGGCAGGTGAACATTGTATGGTATTCAGAACATGTGCGTGAGAGCCAATAGTTGCTTCAAATTGTAAAATGTAGAAATACAGAATGCTGTCGCACAAGAAGTGGCCTATTTAGATTACTAGACAATAGGTTTCTTCCACCACCTGTAAAAGTAAAACAAACAGTTGATGACTTGGTTTTGGATGAAGGAGGGCAATTTCTTAATCTTCCAGTCAATTTAGCTCTACGCTTAAGTGCTTCACTCAAAGATTTCCTGCAAATGCCCTACAATTATGTTTGTCCGACGGTAAAATTGAGGCTATCAAGTCGAACATGCAAAAAGTGTGGTCTTTATCATGCTTCCGTCAAGAAACTAAATCGTCACATCAAAAATAAGAGCTTTGCTTACTTTTGCTGACTAGCGGGATGGGGGGGTACATAATTGTAATAAATCTGCTTACGTAATACTTGAACAGCCCATATGCAAGTGTCTCTTCGATGGATTTGATAAAAGCTGAGAATTTCACGATACCTTCAATAAATGTAACATTTTGTGAAAACTATGAAAAACTTGACACATTCAAATGTATTCCCATTTTTATTGCTTTTCTGGAACCACTGGCAGTAGGCCAAATCGCGCTAGTCTCAAACTATCATTTATTGATTTGAATGCATTAAGCAAGCTCAGATCCCAAAATTGTCACATCTACACACAAATATGCAAACTTGAATTACGCCACAATTTGTAATTTCCCTAGGATTTTTTTTCTGAGAAACATTGATATCCGAAATACCATATATTCACCCTAATATACTACTTGATCCCCTTCTTCCTTTGCTTTTACCAAACGTCTGGATTAACTGAACTATTTATTTTAATGAATGACAGAAATTGATAGCTGCCATTAGAATATCATTCGACAAGAGTGATACATTTTTCTACCTACTTCAATCCTGACTGTGAATAAGTGTTCGGAATATCAAACAGAAATTATTCTAAGGATGAATTTTTCATGACATTATCCTCAACTTGCATTTAAAATTAAAATTCTAAAGAAGGTACAACCATTAGTAGGCGCAGGTAGTATTTTTAAATGTAAATTCTACCTGCCTGTTGATGGCAGTACCCAGTACTAACCAGCTTTCCTATGTTTTCCTTTTGATGCCACCCAGAGTTTCTTTTAGGCATGTATCGTCAGTCGTCCCTACAATTGTAGGGTGCGTTTATGGCCTCCTTGATTGTCATACTCTTTTCTCTCCTCCAAAAATTTCTAGATTACACTCGTCCGGTGTCAGCGTCAGCGCTCTCCTATTGTTAAGATATGTTTTCTTTTTAAATTGTAGGAAATTTCATGCTGATAAAACATGATATAACTCAAAAGCAAGCACCATTTGATGCAAATAGATGTTTGTGACATAACCTCAAAATAGAGTTCTGACACGGAGAAGTAGAAAACTATAACAATCAAGGAGGCCATAAAGGCGCCCTACAATAATTGTACAATTATTGTAGGGACGACTGACGATACGGGCCTTAGTTTTGATTTGTCAGCGGTTGAATACTTCAGCCAAAAATATTGTAAGACCTTGTACTGCCCACGCCTACTGGCAGGGAAGTACTGAAATCGCGCAAATTTTCGAAAATGAGAAATGTTTTTGGATGTTATATGACACGTACATTCCGAAAAATCAGGTCCGTCGGCTGTATGTCCGCTAAACTTATAGTCGCTTATAACTTGAAAAAACAATGTTACTACTATGCCAAGGACGCAAATGCTTTGTAGTTTTTGAAAATCGATCCAGAGGCGAAAGAGAAAAAGGCCTAAAATGAATAAGGTTAAAAAGCTCAAAATTCGGTTTTAGAGGTAAAAAAACTTTGAGCAGGGGATTGTAAAGCAGAAGCTTTCAGAGCAACGGGAGTACTAATCCAATGGAAAAATCGTTGATAAACTTACTATACATCCAGACTAGGTGTACAGATTTACCAAGTACTCAGTTTGGACTGGATAAAAATTACAGAACATTGCATGGATTTTGGGACACCCCTTATAAGAAAAACAAATAACTGATTTGATTATGGCATTTCACAGTTATATTGTACATTTTTCTATTTTTATGAAAAAAATAGCCAATCTTGGATAGTTCCCTGAACCTATATACCTAATTGTTTGTAGATATAGACTATTGTGAATAAACATAAAACCGAGAAGACTTCTGTGGGGGCATCTGCTAGCTTGTCGAGGTGCGTGGAGCGGGAAGGAGGTCAAATCCTGCAGTTCGAGTCTGTTCACTTATAGCGCAGTCAAATTACGTATAATTGTTGCTCATATCGAAACTATGCGATTTATTTTCGATTCGCTAAGTTCAAAGCAATTATATGGAACTATTAGTGTATTTTACGTTGCACGTTGCTCAAATGTATAATTTATGCACTATATGCGTGTGGGTAGCATAAAAAAGCAAAAAAATATAGACAGACACTGAATATAAGTCTATCGTGGACTATACTATATAGTTTGCAGCAACCTGTGGATCTGACATAAGGCATAAAAAATTATTTATACCTAGCACTGGTGGCATTACAATTGAAAACGCATGGTATCCAAGAGAATAACTTATGAGAATAATCTTCGAATCACTCGTTTTGAAACCTCTAATAATCCTTAAATTAGCAATAAACGCGTAGGTATATTTTCATTAACAACACATTAAAACAGCAAGCACTAAAAGTAGTAACACAAAGCACATAAGAACTTTGTACTTTTATTAGATCTTGTTTAACGATTATAGAAACAATTTGCGCATCCATTAAAGCACTATATAGTTCTTTCCGTTTCGTTTTGATAACTTCGACTTCGAATATTCCACTTTTTTGTAGTCCACTTTCGCAAAAAGTCAGCCACTTTCTTTTAACCGTTCGCCTCACTTCCAACTTTTTCTCCGAGCAAAATCGAGTTTTGGGGACACATTAACAAATCTATAAAACGTAACTGCACTTCTGTATGTAAATAATGAGGATATAATAGAAATGGACAGATGCATGAACTCGCATTTTACCGTTTGTCACCACACTTATGTGGCAAAGCTGTAAGAAGGTTATTGGCTCATGCCTTTCTTCACAATCTCATAAAAAAATGTATTGTTGGAGACAGGTAAAACGGGCGCACCTGCCTTCGCATAGCTAAAGGGGCATGTACTCACAGCATTCCAGAACATTTGGTGCACACAAATGAGCCGATAGTGACGTTCACGTATGTGGGGCCCCGCTGTCCACAGTCGAAGCAGTATTTGTTCTCCGGGATCATGCCAAGCTCTCTGAGCGTCTTTAGGTTCTTTTCATCCTGCTTTTTGCGGGACGAAGCCATATCTTATCACGCACAGCACTATAGACGCGAACACAAACACTCGCTACCTTCCTTTCAGTCGGACTGCGATTCAAAAATTAGGCACTCTGTGACGAAGAGTTGAATCCTTCAAATGACATTTGACCGAGCGTCGTTGACAGATTCTGTCAACTGTCACAAAAAATCTAGTACGGGGTACGAGGAGTTCAAATTTTATGTGATGTTGCCACGTTAATCACTTTGTCGGAAGTATCCGAAATTTTTTGTTTCAATTTTTACCAAGCCGGCCTACCCATAAAATATACGACAAGGATCTTTTCGGACGCCCTAAATTTGTTTGTAAACCTTCAAAGCTTGTTCATTATTAATTCACGACATAGTAGTGTAAAACCTATGGTTGTTTCGTCAGGTTATAAAGGGCTAGTGATCATAGCAGATATGACAAACATACGAAAATAAGTGAAAGTCCGATAAAACATGTAAAAAGGCGTGAATTTTTTCAATACACTGCTTTTGTCGCCCAATATAAATGGAATGTAAAAACGATTTAGAGAGATCCAAATATCACAAAAACAAAAGCTGTTACAGATACATGTATTTGTTTTCTGCTTTCGGGATTGAGTTGGATTGGAATATTATAAAATCACTGATGATTAGAGGTGTTTTAAAACGTCGTGGGCCGTGACCGTTACATTATGTGGATGCCCAGAAGACAGATATAAGAGCAGCGGGAAGAATATTACCCTAATCACAAATATAAATCAAATTCAAGCGGATAACGAAATGAAAATGGTATTTACCATTTTGGATTGGTATTTACCGATCCGTTCAAGCGAGTGTGGTTATCAGTTTGGTTATAAGATCCGTGATGTCATGAATCAGCTGTTATACAGGGTGACGGGAAAATAGATGCGGAGTCGGTGGGGGGAGATAGTACAAGCCAATCTGAGTCGGTTTTACTATAGGAACTACTGTCCGAAAATTAGCCGTTTTCGAATTATAGTAATTTTTAAGATTTTATAAAATTAACGTCCTTTATACGTTAACCAAGTCATAAAACTTGAAAATTGGGTGTTTCATTTGATTTTTTTTTGTTTTACAATAAAAATATTCTACAATACGAAAATTGATACTCAAATGTACATTATTGACGTTATCTCATGCAGTAAGCTTCAAAATAGTTCGATTTTTGTTAAAAAAATCTTCGTTCATCTCAAAAGCTTCAGTTTACTAGAACAAGTCGCCTACAAATCTTTCGTACAAAATAATTAGAACACATCTACGTTGCATTACCTTTCAAATCAGGTATAAAAATCACAAATCGATTAAGAATTGGCAAAAATATGACTATTATAAGAGGAGGAAGGAAAAAGCAATAAAAATACTACACTTAAAAAATCATACCTTAATACAGGATAATTTATTTGAAACTACATTTTTTATTTTTATAATACATTTTCAATATGGTGCCCTCTATTTCTAATGCACACACGTGCTTTTCTTATGACAGCTGATTTTACTACCGCCGAATTCCTAAGAGAGGCTTGAATTTAATGTGCTGCATGTATTATAGTGTTTCTGAGGTCTTCTATTGTGGGTACAGGATTTTGATCAGAGTATACTAAAGCGACCCCACACAGAAAAGTCCATAGGTGTGCGATCGGGACTGCGTGCTGGCCATGGGATTGGTCCGCCTCTACCGATCCATCGATTCGGAACCTGCTCATTTAACCAATTTCTAACACTTAGTCTGAAATGTGCTGGGCACCCGTCATGCTGAAAAATCATTCTGTGTCTTGTGTGTAGCCGCACATCTTCAAGTAATTCAAATAGAACATTTCTTAAGAAATTTTAGTAGGCTTCTCCATTTAAGTTGTCGGGTAGGAAATGTAGTCCTACCAAACAGTTATTTATAATGCCCATCCAGACATTCAGACAAAATCGCCTTTGAGATCCTTTTGGTCTTGGTCTCTTCATATGAGGATTTCCCTCCGCACGTTCACGCCAAAATAGTGAGCGTTATGGTAGTTTGTTATGCCGTCTTTATCAAATTTTGATTCGTCGGTCCATACATACGACAACTTGCAACAAAACCGCGGTTAAAACCAATGCGTTGGAGCGATTCTAGTAACTGACGTATCAATCCGTGTGTCATCTTGAACCATATTATAACCGCGGTACATAACATAGAAGTGTTGGTTATTGGCTTGGATTTGATTTATGACTTTTTCGAGGCAGACTCTCTGGCACACTGGCATTCAGCTTTGATTTGAACATCCAAGGGAGAACTATCGGTACTATTGGCGTGCGCGTGTAGATTACGATTTTGTATGTTGAAATTCCTTTATGGTAGACCAGGGTTGTGAAGATTGTTTTTTATATTCAATATGTGAGTGTAAAAGTGTCGGAGATTGAAGATGACTTATTGCATGAAACAGCGTTAGTATTGAAGTTGGTATTGTTCTTTTTTATGTATAAAGCTTTGACAATCTGAGATGTAACGTATATGTGTTTAATTATGTTGATCAAATGTTGCTCCTAGATCGATTGGAACGTTCCTATTCACATTTAAGAATGGCAGTGATTTGTAGGTTGTTAGGTTTAGTATCGTTTACAAAATTAAATAAGAACAAAATTGCATAGAGGTTATATGTTGACGCGGGGGCATTGGGATGGCGGGGATTGGTCTTCGGGGACTGGCAATAGTGAGGAAATAAGGGATAATGGATAATTATTACATGGGTCAGCGAGTGGAGAGTGTTAATGATGAATCAATATTTGATAGTCCACATCAAAGCCATTTCACAGTCGGACATCTAAATATCGGATCCATAAATTCTGGATTTGACGAGTTCTGTAATTATTTGACAGAATACAATTTTGTTATTTTTGGAGTTTCTGAAACATGGCTCAATCCAACTTTAGGAAGCGAGAGCTTTTGCTTGCCTGGGTACAAATTTCTAAGGAATGATAGGCAGGGTCGGGGAGGAGGCATAGCTTTATACATAAAAAGCGGGTTGAAATATTCAAGAGTAAATGTGGAAATTAACTGTGCAGAAAGCATAGGTATAGAATTTAAGATAGGTGGAAAAACTTATCTTTTAGTTAATAGTTATCGTTCGCCTTCTGAGAGTGTCACTTATTTTTTAGACTCCTTAGAAAATTTTCTCGGTTTTGTCAGTCTTAAATATGATTATTTATTATTGATAGGAGATCTAAATATTAACATTTGAAACAATTCTGCATACTCAAATCGCCTCAAAAATATAATTCACAGTTTTAACTTATCACAAAGGATCAGTGAGCCAACAAGATTCAATTTTTCCACAAGAGAGGCTAGCCTCATTGATATAATCTGTGCTAGTGAGGATATTATCTCTATTGATTCTAAATCATTGGCGGTTTCTCAAAATCTCTCAGATCATAATTAAATTTACTCAGCCGTTCGAAAGTCAAAAATAAGTAAATCACAAAAGACTATTAAATATAGAGACTACAATAATATAGATAGAGAGTCCTTCTTAAATGAAGGGTTTCTACTTGGTGGGAGGATATTTACTATATAAATTAAACCAAAAAAAAAAATGAAGTCTTTAATAAAAATATAGTAACTTTTCTGAATAAACATGCTCCGATAAAAACAAAACAAATAACCGAAAAACCTTATGTCCACTGGATAACTCAAAATATAAGAATTTTAATCAGACTAAGAGATAAATCTCATAAAAAATTTCAAAAATCCAAATCCCAGGCTCATTTTGAAAATTATAAACTACTAAGGAACTATACAAAGCATGCAATTATCCGAGAAAAAAAATACATTGTTTAACTTACTCTCAACAAAGAAAGGTAAGGAATTTTGGGAATCTACCAAAAAGCTCAACATAACATGCAAGAAAACTCACTCAACTATACTCGAACACTTACAAAATGTAAATGACACACAATTACTTCCAACAGACCGACAATTTACTAGACACTTCTTCCCAAGAATTATTTAATTTTTACAAAAACAATGTAAATATTAACGATTCTCTTAGCTTCCAACTGTTAGACAGGGCCAGTCTAATCAAAATTGTAGCTAATATCTCATCAAATGCCTTTGGAGAGGATGGTTTCTCTATGAGAAACCTAAAGTTATGTATCCCACTTTGTACGAATGCCTTGCTGAATATACTCAACACATGTATTTTGGGGGAATTATTTCCAGAAATATGGAAGAAAGCTATTGTTAAACCCTTACCAAAAATAGCAAAACCTAAAGAATTTACAGATTTGAGGCCTATTAACATACTACCCGCTACATCCAAAATATTAGAAAGGCATATTTATAACCAAATTAGATTTTTTTGTGACACAAACGATATCATACCCGATAGTCAATCCGGTTTTAGGAAAAACTTTAGCACAAGTACATCATTAGTTAATATCTTGGATGATATCAGACATCATGAAGAACAAGAAAATACTACGTTGGATACTCTGAATCATGAAATGTTACTAGCCAAGTTACATTACCAGGGGTTTTCGCAGAGCTCCGTAAATATAATAAAAACATACTTAAGCAACCGTTCAAACTGTGTTATGTTAGCAACTGATTCCGCTATTTACAAAACCGATTTTAAACCTATAAAAAGAGGAGTTCCTCAAGGTTCAATTTTATCTCCTTTGCTATTTTCAATCCACATATCTGACATGGTTAAATCGGTAAAATTCGCAAAGACAAAACAATATGCAGATGATTCACAAATATATCTCCCTTTCAATAAAACCACAATCCATATTGCACACAATAACTAAATTCAGATCTCCAAAGTATTGACAGATTTGCAAAGTATCACAATCTTAAACTAAACCCCTGAAAATCGCAGGTAATGGTTATGAATGATAAACAGTAATAAAAGAGAACATTTTGAACAAAATTTAGTAATTTCTATTAACAATGACCACCCATGGTTCAGGAGACAAAAAATCTAGGCATTATATTTGATAACTCGCTTGGCTTCGGAAGTCATATACTAAGTGACATATAAATCCGAACACCCAGTTTAAATGGTTTTATTTTAATAAAATTTTGTATAAGTACTTAATGAAGCATAATAAGTAAATGATAAAATTTTCAAAATGATTGCACTGCTTTAAAGCCCTTTGACCTTTAATAATGTGTGGATGCACCCTGATGTGCTACGCATTCTCCAACGCGCCTAGGCATGCTTCTGATCAGGTGGTCAATGTCCTCCTGTGGTATCTCATTCCAGGCTACCACCAACTCCTCTCGAAGTGCTTCTAGAGTCTGAGGAGGACGTTGCAAATTGAGCAATCTCCTACCCATCATATCCCACACGTGCTCAATTGGGGATAAGTCGGGAGATCTGGGTGGCCATGGTAACAATGTGACATCATTATGTTGAAAGAAGTCTATTGTGACTCTTGCAACATGTGGTCGGGCATTATCTTGTTGGAAAGTTGGATCTGCCAGGGTGTCAAGATAGGGTAAAAGATGGGTTTCTTGAACTTCGTGGATATAACGCTGCGCGTTCATGTTACCTCTGATGAAGATTAAAGGTGACCTGGAACCATAAGCTATAGCACCCCAAACCATAACTCCAACAGTGTGATGAACATGTCTTTCAACAAAAAACTGTGGATTCCTCCTTTCACCACGTCGCCTTCTAACCCTGGCACGACCATCGTGCATGCCTAAACAAAATCGAGACTCGTCACTAAAGACAATACTGTTCCATTCCTGATCCCAGAGTGACCGTTGTCTGCACCACTCAAGGCCATTACGTCGGTGTTCTCGAGTTAAAGGGAGGACCCAGTGTGGCCGGTATGAAAACAAGCCAAAACTTCTCATTCGTCGGTAAACACTTCGCATGCCAATAGGTCTTCCGTGTTCAGCAAACCATTCATTTGCAATGGACCTGGTAGCCATGCCTGACAACACCTAACCACAGTGTCTACACTTCTTTGCACTCTAACTGCAATTGCCCGAAAAGAAAGTCCAGCTTCCCGAAGTCCCACTATACGGCCCCTATCAAACTCACTAAGTTGACGAAATCGTACAGGTCTCCGTACTCTAGGCATCGTAACCGATCGTAAAGGATGTCAAGAACCAAAATCCGCCAACGTTGATTCTTTACTACGGCTGAAATATTCATTTTTAGAGCGTTAGTGAATTAAAAAAAGCAGTATAAAAACCGGCATGTCCAACTGATAAGGCTGAAAATTTTTTCACTTGTTATTTACAGTAAGATAAATACATTCACCAACTTTTATTAAAATAAAACCATTTAAACTGGGTTTCGGATTTATATGTCACTTAGTATATAAAAAACAGAACAAATTTAGCTTACATGCGACTAAGAAATATAAACAAATTAAAAAAACATCTATCAAAATATTATTTATGTAATACCTTAATTTTATCACTTTTCGACTATGGAGATGTCGTCTATGGTGATTTGCTATCGTCGCGAACCAAAAAATGCATACAAAAAATTCAGAATAGTTGCATGAGATTTGCGTTTGGAATTCCATATCGAAACCATATCACTGCTTAATATCTGAATAACTACAACATATTAAGCATGACGAATCGCACAAAATATCACATGTATTCTTTTATCTATAGGGTTATAAAAACAAGTCAACCGCCCTATTTAAGAGAAAGATTTGTGCCTTTGCCTCGTGCCCAGAGGAGCAGAAATAATCTCAATTTTATCGCACCTAGGCAAAAAACGCGTTCCTTCCGCCGATCGTTTGCTTATGTGGCGGTTCACTTATGGAATAATTTTCGAACTTTAGTTAAAACCTCATTGTCAAAAACATTTTCAAAACTGACAAAAACGTTGTTACAGAATCACCAGCTACTTTAGCAGCGTTTGTGTGAGCAAAAATATCGTTTTTACATTCCAACTCGCTAACAAGTTGTATAGATTTGTTCTTCGTATCCGTTGCCAGCTCCCAGGGGTTCTTTCTTCGTTTTTGCCTTTTTGTGTTTCACCGCCTTTTCATTTGCCTCTTTATTGTTTTTTTTTATTTTGTTTAAGGACTTTTAGGGTGTTCAGGGCTTCCTCGCATGGACTCTTTGTATTAAAGGGTCCAATGTATCGGTTTTATACTCGAGAGACTGTCCTTTTTCGTCATCGCTCTATACGTATAATTTCCTTTGTTTATGATGTTTATTTATGACGAAATAAATATTTTGAATTTGAATTTTATTTGTGAACCTTTTCAGAGAAACATGAAGTCCAATATGATGATTTTACTCAGATCTATGATAATATTTTTTCTTAAAAGGGATAAGAACCAGCACAAGGTTGTTCATAGACAGGGCCGCTAGATTGTATATGTTTTACAATTCAGCCGTGAAAAGGAGGTAGGGTAAGTCATTTTACCTCTAAATGAGCTGATAATCGAGTAGCAGAGGCCACAGGTGTATCACTCAATACCGTGATTTCAATGAAAGATCGCATACTTAACAAATGAAGATTTTTGTTTTCAAAATAATTTCCTGAAAGTTTTTAAAAGTAACAGTTTGCTCTAGAAGAAACCTTTTCGCAGATAGGAACATTGTATACAGCGATGAGACTTACATTCACAGCTCTCATACAGTGTCAAAGTCCTGGGACGATGGGCCTAATACCTGCCTGCAAGCACCACTGGTCAAAGGAAAACGATTAATTGTGTTGCATTCTGGGGGAATGCAGAACTTCTCTTCAAATCAGGTTTGAAAAGTGGTGATTACCACCTTCCCATACCTTACTTCTTCCATAATAATAATAATAATAATAATAAATGACCTTTATTCGTCACACGATTACAAAATAATTGGTTTAAAAGGAACAGTGACGAAAAGGTGGAGTGTCAGCTTATGCTGTTTTTCAACCCGACCTGGAAAACATTGACACAAACTATAGAGAGAGAGTGCATAAAGTAAAATTTTATCCATCCGACTGCTTTAAACTCATCTTTAACCTTTTTTTAAAATTGCTTAGGCTATATTCTTTATACTCACTTGATAAGCAGTTATATAGTTTGGGTGCCCAGTACGAGAAACTGCGTGTGAACAATGCTGTCGAACGCCGCGGGATAAGTAAGATGAGTTTATTCCTAGAGGATCTTTGATCGTACTGGCAGAGGAGGCTTAGTTTTGTATAAAGATAATATGGCGCTTTAAGAATAAGGGTCTTATGTACCAGAGATAGGCAATGCAGTTTCCTCAATTTGTTCATCTTAAACCATCCCGATTGGTCAAAAGCGCTACTAATATGATCAAATTTACGGATTCCATAAGAAAATCTGATGAAATAGATTTGACACTTTGTCAGCTACCAGCTACCTACGCTACTGTTCCATACCACACCACCCACGCGACGACGGCGAAACAGACATAATAAGGAACGATAAGCCAGTTATATTAGCTCTCAGCACGTCATTGAAAACTTAAATAGTAGGGAAATAACGTTTGGTAAGGGAATCAGATTAAATTCAACATTGAGAATGATATTCATATCATTCTCAATGTTCCGTTAAAGAATACGCGTTCTGTAATTAATTTATGTTGTATCACCACACCAAATTATTTAATAAATAGGAGTGTGACAAAAATTACCGAAATAATTTGACCGACCTACAGCAAGCCTAGTATCAATTATGTTTTTTCAATGCGTGTATTGTGACGCGTCCTTCTCCACAGATTTGAATCCACGCATGTCGTCTACAAAATCCCCGAAAAGTCGAAAGATAGATTTGAACATTTGAAGGAATTAAAGACCGCGTCTCAAAAAATGTAGCTTTCATCTGGCAACGCTGCTGATCAATGTTCCTCATCTTGTACCCTGCTCTAAAGACGTCAATCTCTTCTGTTATAGCCGAACACTTCCGAAGGGCGCCGAAGAAAAGTTTCATAGACCAGAAATATTAGAGCTGACAATTTAGATATTTTCGAATTTCAGTGATTTTAAGGTCTATGTACCATTGCCAATAGTATACCAAATAGTCTATGTGCCAGTCAAGAATCTGCAGTTCTCTATACTTATTTCAAATTCGCCTGCAGTCTATCTATCTGTCTATATATACCTGATATGTTTTTCTATTTCTCAACAAAATCTTTTTAGCACTTAGACGCTTTTGAATTACCACTCTTCAATTGTAAAAATATGCTGTGGGTATTATTATTAGTATCAAGATAAATAAATCGACATGTTCTAATTATTAATGTCATTGTATATTACACAAAAATGTGATATTTTTTAATTCAGTAGCTATATGTACAAAAACACCTATTAAAACTCTTTCTCTGTCATAGACAAAAACAAAACGTATTCAAAGTCATTGCTAACAAAGGTAATGTCATATTGACGGAGTTACATTACTGACGTTTCCTTAATTTATCAACGTCATATAATCATCAACTTAGAAACTCGCTGTAAATTTTAGCTATCAATCTAACCATCTAGAGAGATCAAAACTTGTCAATACATTCACAAGGTTATTCAATATAATCGCCTGGAAAAGATTGTAGCAAATCAAAAACCAAACTGGTCACCCAGAACCCTGAAGTCAAAAAATGGTGGCCTCGTACAAAGTCGCGTGTTCCAAACAAAAAATACCATAGAAGGCTGATTTCTCAACAATTTTATTGGAGTACCTATGACATAACTCAGACAACTACATAACTTCAAACCATATCAGTCAATCTTCATATAAAAAAACTCAACAAGTTCTAGTGTACAAGATTTTTCAATTAGATTATTCACAAAATGTACATATACATGAAAGAAAATCTTTTTACGGTAGTTTGCACCAAAAAGTATACGGTACGTGTCAAAATCCGAGGATCTGTGAAGTTTAATTTTTAATAAATATAGATTTATGCAGAATCTAAAATTCTGTATTATCTAATTATGGGATGGTTAATCCACTATTCCTTATATTCTGAGTCGCAATATTACTACATTCGAGAGTTGAACGTTCCATGCCTTAGGGCCTTATCGTCAGTCATTCCTTCAATTATAGGACGCGTGTATGGCTTCTTTGACTTTCATAGCCTTTTCTCTCCTTCAGCGCTCTCCTATTGTGAGGTTATTTTTCTTTTTTAATCTTAAGAAATTTCAGGCTGATAATACAGATGATAAAAATCAAGTTTTTATCAGAAAATATAACTTCAAAATAGAGCGCCGACAACAGTAGAAATTTAGAAATACCCCTGCCTTTCTGAAGGAGAGGAAAAACTATGAAAATCAAGGAGGCCAAAGGCCTCCTATAATTGTAGGAACGACTGACAATACGGCACCCTCAGGCGCTTGCAGGATAATATATCCAAAAAAATTCACCCACCTCTTTTTAGCACCTTGAATTTTCAATATGTTAAAATAGCTAATGTTTAAAACTAGGGACTAGAGATTTATATATTTAGGTATTTCTAAAAATAACTGGTAATTATCTTATTTAAATAAAAAAATGGTACACGCACGTGAGGAAAAATGACAAACATATTGGCACATTCTATACAATACTAGCTATCCTTCATTCAACAGCAAAAAAAATAGTACAATTTTCTTATAATGAGATAAAAAACAGTTATTAAGGGAGGATCTGTGATTAACTCCTGATTTTGTTAGAAAAAATTCTATGCAAAATTAAAGTACTGAACAATCTAGATTCAATCCCTACTTCAATATACTCTTTGGGTAAGAAAAGATAGTATTAGTCTTTTTACAAAAGTGTTCATTAGTATTGCACAACTGCAAGTTGAAACTAAGATAAAACAATAAGAACAGCGATTGTCGTATATCTAAATCATTGAAAATCGGATACCGTTCTTATGAAATGTAAATAATATTGTCACTTAACTCGTACTTTCGAGAATATAAACTGCATATTCGTGACATATTGCGATATATATTATATTCGATAATGACAAGTATATCTTAGAAAAAGTGGCTTTTAGCTCACATAACTGAAGACTCCTATGTAAGAACCGGTTATGTCCGATTTTTAACTATGTCGAGGATCCTCATAGTTTAAAATTTTAAGACGGCCAATTGGGAAAACAAAATACTGTCTTATTAAATAAGGAATACAGAACATAGTATGTCATGATCGAATCATTCTACATACTTATATGATCTTGTTTTTCGATGTCGCTTCAGATATAACCGGTTGAATTGGAGCCTTCAATTACCACGTATTTTATGCAAGTTTATCACGCTGCTGAAAATTGTCTTCCACACATTTCTCCATTACATCCGCCAGATCATTCGCTTACACATTTCTCTTTGCGAATAATTCATCATCTATAACACTACTTAAACCCTGTTCATCTCTCTCAACATCCTATCCGCCATTCCAACTAGGTAGAGGGCGTGTCTCAAAGAAACGCCCCCTGGCTTTGGTGGGCGGTGCTATTGCCCGAAAGACCTCGGCGATTCACTTACAACACACATTAACCCTGATCGTTCCCTTAAGCGATGCTATCCGCCATTTCGTGATCCTCCTTGTGCATCTGCAGCTGATGCATCTGATGGTGCATTTGTGGGTCTCCGGCACCGCTTGGCGAAGGCGCGTCTCCCGAAGCCACACCGCCTGCGCTTTGCAGAGCGGCGCCAGTGCGCGTGAACGACCTTGGCGATTCGCCGCCTGCGCTCGAGACCGATTCGGGCGTGCCGGCTGAGCTCAAAGAGCCTGGTGGGAGGGGCGGGGCTCCGGAAGAGGCTCCGCCCCCTGTAGTCGTGAGGAGACCGCCCAAACCGCGGTATGAGGAGAGGGACGAGACGCAACCGCCGGAGTAGCTGTACACGCGTTTGGCACGGGGACCTAATGGTAGAATACAAAGTTTGTTTGACAAAAATAGATCAATTCCAGCCAACGAATTCGAATAGATTAGAAGCACTCAAGCCCATATGATTACATTGCATTGTTTGTCGCACAAATTTGCGTAGTTGTAGGATAAACTTTTGACCAATTTGACTACCATTGCCTACCAAAGTGTTGTATCAAGATGATGATGATGATGATGATAATAATAATAAGATCTACCTTTACTAGGCTTGTACTGCTCTTTGCAAATTATGCAAGAAGCGCCATATCTTAAAATCGCCTAGCACAACAATTAACAACAAACGAACTTAATGGCAGATTTGTCAAAATATGTACTTATGTCAAATCCACTTGTAGTATGCACTTTCATCCTGATTGCAGACTAAGATTCTTGACAAACAAATCCTAGGCTTGCTCCTTCTACCTATTCGAATTCGTAACTTCCAGCAGTTTCTTCATTTTGATGGAATTACCAAAACTGATTTATTGAATACCTATAAATGTTGCATAATTACGAAATCCAATACTGACCTTCCTAAAATTTATTTTTTTATTAATAATTCAAAGCAAAGGAGGTGGGTGGATATCGGCTATTTTTATAACACACTCAAAAAAAAAAAGTTCAATTCCAGACTATTATTGAATGTGAACTTCAAGACGTGTATTTTTTCATTATATAATATTTACGGTATGAACAATGTAATATGCTCCAGAAATTATTGCCAAGAAATAGAGTATTTAGCGATTTTTGTACATTTTTGTTGTTTTTCGATCTTTGAATCATGTTTTCCTTACGAAGCGTTCCATGAACCACATTAACTTTAATGCTCAGTAAGTCCTCTTATTATAAGCTTGTATATGAGTATTTATTTGTTTTGGTTCAGTGAGCGCATCAATCCAAAAATACGTAATATATGCTACAGGAGAGTGAGAGTCACGCTACAATCGCTGCGTGTTCAGACATGATTTTTCGCGCTCGAAAAGTATTTTCGTAGTAAAGGTATAGGTAGGTCTGATAGTTATTCGAATGAAGATGACAAGGAAGAAGATTAGTCAAAAATATATTATGTATATGAAAACTGATTATCTTTTATTATTGTTTAATAAATTTATGTATACCACGAATTTCAGTTTTCATTTGAAATAAGTATGTTTTCTTCTTTGTAATGGAGTATACTCTTCATAAATATATATATATATATATATATATATATATATATATATATATATATATATATGTCATATCTATTCACTGATGGGCGAAAAATGGTTCTTATCAGCCCACCTCCTTTCAAGCATCTACAAATGCTTGCCTAGATTTAGGCCCGTATCGTCAGTCGTCGCTACAATTGTAGGGCGCCTTTATGTCCTCCTTGATTGTCATAGTTTTCTGCTTCTCCGTGTCGAACTCTATTTTGAGGTTATGTCACAAACATCTATTTGCATCAAATTGTGCTTGCTTTTGAGTTATATCATGTTTTATCAGCCTGAAATTTTCTACAATTTAAAAAGAAAACATATCTTCACAATAGGAGAGCGCTGACGCTGACACGGGATAAGTGTAATCTAGAAATTTTAGAAGGAGAGAAAGGAGGATGACAATCAAGGAGGCCATAAACGCGCCCTACAATTGTAGGGACGACTGACGATACGGGCCTTAGGGCCGTATTGTCAGTAGTTCCAACATGTGTAGGACGATTTTATGGCCTCCTTGCTTTTCATAGTTTTTCCTATCCATCAGAAAGTCGGGGTATTTCTAGATTTCTACTGTTTAGTGTCAGCGCTCTATTTTGAGGTTATATTTTCTTTTTGATCAGGCTGATAACACTTGATTTTAATCATCTGTTTCATCAGCCTGAAATTTCTTAAGATTCAAAAATAAAACATAACCTCAGAATAGGAAAGCGCTGATGCTGACACGGAACAGTAGAAGCCTAGTAGTAGTAACGACTGACGATACGGCCCTTAGAGAACGTTCCATACGTTTCTACGTGCGTCGGTGTGTTCTAATCTATTTTTCATCATATTTTGAGGTTTATTGAGCTGGCAAGCCTAGACAAACCAAGTCACACGTTTGAATTTGTAATGGTTGTTGAAGTTGGCAAGCCTATGAAACGAAATGGTGAATTGTGAAAAAAAACATACTTAGGTTTAGTAAACATCAAAAGATCGAAGAAATGTCGAAAATTTGGCCTACCTGCACAGAATTCTGACCTGTCTTCATCTAGTTTTCGTTTCACGCCAAGTGGGCTAGGCCTTAGAACAGGACTAGCACTTCGTCTAATGATGGTTCGGGACCTACGTTATAGCATATTAAATTATAATGCTTAAACCTACATCGGTTCTCTAGAGTGAGTTCCAAACTCAGACAATAGGGATATGAATGATTTTCTTTGTAGTTTCTATCGATAAATTACTTTGATATAATACTGTAACCACATATTTCAATCATGGAATTGTCTATATTTAATATTGCCTAAAAATTTAAAACTGCAATGCCCACGGCATTGATTTAAACGACTTTTTTTTACGCGCTTCGCAGTGACGTCACCGTCCACGACATGTCATTTAATTGTTTTTTGATTAGGTTGCTGCCGACGTTTCGATATAATAACTGTTTGTCAGATTACAGCATATTTATAGGTTATGTTTATTATTACCAATCACATTGAACAGCTGGAAAGCAATGCAAACATTGACAGGTTGAAATCGTACTGACCAATTCGAGAGGCGACGTGAAATTTCGACATTTTAAATTTACCGCATACTTTTCTTATTTTTTATTAATCAATACTCATAACTTTATAGCTCTCAATCATAGAATAAGTCTGAATGCGTCATTCCACAGCAATAAAGACTACAAATAAAAACAATTAAGCAATATTTGAACCACATGCATATTCTCTATTTTGAGATACAGCCTAACAAAACAGTTATAAACAAAAATTGTTTAATCAGAAAAAGCAGAAGTTGAAATAACAAATAAATAGGTGCATGAACTTCAATTTCCAATGTTATGCTGATGTAATTTTTTACTTGATCAAAGAAGATTGTTTTTATTGCGATTACCTTGTGGGACTTTGGAAGCCTGTACGCGTAGGCGATGGCGAATTGCACATGAAAGCACTGCCATATGAAGATGGTAGTGATATCTGCAGAGGGGTAGTTTTGTTCAATGGTTTCCAATCACAGCTACTGTTGCTACTGTTGTCATTCATAAGGCTCAAGTCCTAAGAGAAAAATACAATAATTCATTTTATGACCCAAACAATTTAGACTTGGATCTAAAGACCTGAATTACAAAAGGCTACACTAAGAATTTAAGGCCCGTATCGTCAGTCGTCCCTACAATTGTAGGGCGCGTTTATGGCCTCCTTGATTGTCATAGTTCTTTCTCTCCTTCAAAAATTTCTAAAGTATACTTGTCCCGTGTCAGCGTCAGCGCTCTCCTATTGTGAAGATATGTTTTCTTTTTAAATTGTAGGAAATTTCAGGCTGATAAAAATGCAAATAGATGTTTGTGACATAACCTCAAAATAGAGCGCTGACACGGAGAAGTAGAAAACTATGACAATCAAGGAGGCCATAAAGGCGCCCTACAATTGTAGGGACGACTGACGATACGGGCCTTAGTGATTTAAGTCATAAAAGAGATCTTGTATGTGATGACTCAGAATGCTTTTGTAAATTCCTAAAATAAATAAGAGTTTCGAGTATAATGTGGAATAGCATTAGGAGGCGTTTTTTAACACATATAAGAAAAAGAGATTGCTAAAAAATCTAAAAATATATTATTCACCTCCCAGGATTGGGATATCTGCATGGCATGATGTATTTCCCTCTCGTGGGCGAGTTCCCGGGTATTGCTGATACCTTCGTGTTCTTCCTGTCTTAGTTGATTTATGCGGGGTGTCAGCCTTGGCCCTGATATCTATTTGAAAAAACATATTTTAGTTTTTAATTGATGTCAGACATAGAGATGACTGATATCGTTATTGTTGAGTTACTGTGATATCTCATATCGTTACTTTTTGATATCAGTGTTTTAAAACCGTGACGTGGTCACAACGATGAAATCGCATCGAGCCAACTACAAAAGTCTATAAATCACAATACTGCTTGTGAATTTACAACACCTGAGTCATTCGGTTCTTTCCAACACTGAGTTTTTTACCGCCCAAATTTGCAGCAGACCAGATTAGCTTGGTCCACATCTAGGCAACACCCTATCATTGATTTGTGAAGATGACTGTATTTTACAGTCCCTGATAGTTGAATATACTGGTTGGAACTGAGTATCTCTACAGATTTCAATATTTTTACTCCATAAATGGTTATATTATATAATATATATTCTATTAATGTAACCATTTCATTACAATAACAGTTTTTCTATTATAGAAACTACACCAAACGTAATTTATAAAAAGTCTTACTGGGGATCCAGGGACTGGACTGAAACTGGCACTGAATCTTCTAGTTCTATTATTTGGTGTTCCAAACAGGCTACCATATGTTGGTTGGTCCCTAGGATAAATATAAATATTAAATATATTAAGTATAATAAAATGATAAAAGTACTAAAACGTCTTCTGTTTGACTTTCTCCAAATTATAATTTAAGGAGTTGGGGCGATGAAAACCAACACGTAACAGAAAATGATAAAAATCGTTTTAAGATAATGTAATCCTAAAAGACCCATCAGAGTCTTATAAAGCAAGGTTTAAGCTTTAATTTAGATCACTGCAGACCTCAAAAATTATAATAATAATCATTATTCCTGAAACTAAAATTTGATAAATTGGCTAATTGACCAAGCCACTGCAGCATAGCCCAGTTTACTCCTAATAAAAGATGTATATATTGTGTTAAGGCTGCTCACATCAACAAAACCTGACCAGTTTCTGACACAGTCTCCCAATGTTTTTATCTGTGGAAGAGACCATTTCACTTATATGATCAGAGAACGTGAATTTACTGCCAAATATTAACACTAGATCTTTGAATGTCTGAAATCTCTCTTGATTCGTGTTATCAACGTAGTAAATAAACAGGAAGTGAAGCTCAAAATTTTACATTTTGCTACTTTATATTTAGTTTGTCGCCAACACACCATTTACTCAATCTACTCAGGTCTTGCTGTAATTCTATACAGTCAGTGTAATTTTCAATTTCACTAAATATCTTCAAATCATCTGTGAAAAATAGCTTCAATTCAGCTGTAGTGCCAGGTCATTAATATATATTAGATTTGATCCCTGAGGCAACCCTGAAGTAGGAGTATGAGGCAATGAGGTGTAACTTACATTATATAACATATATACATCAGGGATGCTAAGTCTTCAGACCGTCTATATGATCATAATTTTGATAAAAATAAGTAGTGGTCAATAGAGCAAATGTTTTGGGGAAATCCATGTATATCAATTAAAAAAATATTAAATTTGATTTAGGTTACTGTGTGGGTTTATTCAATCCTTAAAAATTCAGATGAAAATTATAACTTTTGTGGTCGCCAGTTAAGTAAATTAATGTTAAAACTTTGCTCTACAAGACCTTGAAGGGTATTTTGGGATTAGCTTATTTTAAAGCAATTTCAACCTTGGTTTTTCAGATTAAAATTGGTGGACTTTTGGTTTTCACAGACTGTAGCTAAGCCACATTTGAATAAAAAACCACATTTGCATCTAAAAGCACCTGTGCCATAGGTATCCATGTCCAAAAATGATTTTTTGACAATTTGCTGATAGAAGTCACTATAATTTCTTAATGACATTTTTAACAACTATGATATCCCCACACTTTTTACAACAAAAACACAATATGGCACTTGAATTCAAAGATGAGTGTCAAATGGAAATTAGTCCATGATGGAAACAATAGATATTTCAATGATACTGAGAACAAGGATGGTTCTAGATTTAATTCAGATGGCAGTGTGAAGAACACACTATCCTCTTACAGATAGCAGGGCTGATAGAGACTCTGAACAAGTAGCTCAGGTGAATATATAAATTTGTGGCTTATGACTTTACTGCCATTATAAATGTGGCTTATGCTTTTGTTATGTAGAGAAACTATTTTTTGCATTAGTTTCATAATAGATAATGATTTCAAAGCATCTATTTATCAGAGTATATCAAAATCCATATTGACAATGACTATTCTTCACTGGAAATAACTTTAATTGCTGTCAATAGTATGTAGTGTTATGATTAGTGGCATATATGCCCTCTTTGACCAAAAAAACAATTATCTGTGTGGCCTGCTTCAGTGTTCAGGAGCATTTTCAATATTTTTGAAATGGTGAATGCATGACAAAGCCCTAATGACAAAACAGAACTTTTCTCTCATATCTGTTATGAAAAGGAATTTTAATACAGATAAGAAGCGTGTCAAAAATGAAGTGTGTTGTTTCAAGTCCAACAGCTAATACTCAAACTATATGCCTATAAGACAAACAATTTTAAATTACCCTTGGACAACAACTTTTAATTAAAATAAGGCACCAAGCCACAGTATTTTCTTTGTTTACCCAAAATGTAAATCAATTGTAGCGTTTCAATCAAAATTAAGGAAGAAACATGATGTCTGGATTTACATAAAAGTTATAACTTTTTATTTCTCAAAACAAAGTCAATGTGGCTTCCGTACCTTATTACCCCAAGCCCTCCAATTAAAAGCAATTTGAAACAGTTAGCTTTCAATAATGAATTCAAAAATTAATAAATAAAATAATGCTAAGTACTATATTCACATCAAAAGTCTAGAATTCAACATTATTTTCAGCTACTCTTTATCAAGTTCCATGTATCAGAATGTTCTCTTTCTGCTACATACACACATATTTACCGCCTAATGCTATGCAAGTTGAGAAACTCACTGGATTAGTACATGCCATTATAAAATAGCAATTATGTTTTCTGTATTTTTATTTAGGTCTTTATAGTTGTGAGTACTTATGCAACTCATCAATTTCATGCATTTCCGAGGAAAATTAGCTTTTTCATTGGGTACCTGCTGGTGGAGGACCCATTGCTAGTGGTCATAGCAGCATTGGCTTCATTGATCATAGGGGCACTGGAGCACCGTTTGAGCGTGCCGGGGGCCCCACCGCCACTTCCAGCACCGCCCCCTGCGCTACTAGCAGCGCCTCCGCCACTGGGGCTATCAACGTCCATTGCCACGGCTTGCTGCGACTGCGGGTGCATCGACGACATTCCTTCGCAGACCGCACGCTAGAGAGAACATTTGACCACTTTCAACTGCCCAGAAAAAGGTACCGGTCTGTTGGTTTGGTGCGATGTCGATTCTAGTCCTTTACTTTTTCCTATTTTGTGGAATTAATGTCGGTTTACGTGTTAAAATTTCATTCCGCTTTTCATCTTGAAGAAGTTGAATTATCAGTGACAGCTGCCAATTATCGCGGTTGTCAATCGCTGTCAGTGTCAAAAGTGACGTTTTGCTCAAAGCATAGATGAACAGATTCAAGGAATGTGAATAAGTGAACGAAGAAACCTATTCTTATCCGCCATTTTGCACCCCATTTTTGTAACTTTGGAAAAAGTAGACGAAAATTATATTGATTTCTCTTTCATTCACTCATTTAAAATATTATATAATATACTGTATCTACGACAGATTGTAAGGCTTTATTTTGTTAATGGATAAAAAGCACTTTTTTGAATTAGCCAAGATGGCAAAGAGAACACTTTCTACTAATGTACATATTTTCTTACCTACATTCCATGATGAAAAGTCAAGAAGCGTCGATCAGCTGTTTTGTACCAGTGTTGCCAGGATGTGGTGTTATGTTGTTATTGTCTACGTGTTCCAAAATACATCATAAATACTAAACATTATCGTCGCTAAACTTTTTTTGCGAGCAAGTAGAGCTATGTAAATCATATAGCAGCAGTATGTTTAAACGGCAGGTTTCTCCTGAAAAACCAGCTTTTTCCATTAAAAAAGAGGACATCCTGGAAGACATCGAATCAATAAAGGGGGACGAAGAGCAACGCAAGAAATTGTTTTATTGTATAGACGAAAACCCGCCTTTGGAGCAAAAATTCTCAGGTATCGAAGACATCCTGGCTGGCACAAATTCGTTGGATAACACATCGAAACATATCACGGCTTTGATTCAAGATCTACAATCGCTAAGTGAAGACTTACAAGAAGGTGTAGCGAAGATTAGGAAACAAATTTCTGGGTTGCAAAAATGACGGAACTGTTTATTATGAAAATATAATAGGCCTTTTATTGTAATAAAATGTATAGAATAAACAATATCATGATGATAAAACTTGAGTAACATGCATTAAAATTTAATTCTAAAAAGCTAATGGTACATGTGAGGTTCAATTCTAGAAGTTGGGTCATTGCTTGCATTGTGGTCTGTTAAGTAGTAGAAAAACATGCAAGGATGCCCTGAAATGAAGAAAAAAAACAAAAAATTAAAGGATGCAGGATCTACAAGTTGTTGGGTTGGGGGTTGTTAAGTAAAGCTAAAGAAAACGTAACTACCAAGCATTCTATGCAGTATTTTCAAATGCATATCTACTTTAGATAGATTTCCAAAGGCACTACAATGTAATCAAAAAGCCCATTTTGAATCATGTATTATTGTTGCAAGGGGAATTTCCAATTCCAGTTGGTTGTGAGAGATAGCAGGTATATGGTATATCTCTAAAATAAAAATTCCATCACAAAATATTTTGCAATCTTCTAAAACTAATGAACTTACAGTTTTGGAAATTGTTTTCCGACTTTAGGGCACAAGGTGAATTATACTGAGAAAATCATCATTATACTTCATCAATATTTATTTGTAAATTCTATATATAAAATTCACAGATCTTGGACGGAACTGTTACATATAACAGACTGCATTGAAAAATTGTTAACATTGTAAGGAATAAGTATAATTACAATACCAAGATTAACCGCTATATAACATTTCTAAAAATCATTATAAGTACATATTCTCCTTGTGTAAATGGTAATATGAAATTATATCCTCCAAAATAATCATATACAGCAAATCTCGACAAGTTTACGTTAAAAACTAAGAAATGTACCATGTATTATAAACGTAAAATTGCCGAAAGGGTTGACCTAATAACTAACAATATGTATAAAGAATAAAACAATAGTTTATATGCATAGGTATTATTCATTCAATCATGGTGTTTTTGAAAATTGTGTAAAGTACATTTATTTCTGACTAGAAAAGCTTTAATAATTATCCGTTTTGATACTATCATATGAGGTATCTGATTCAACAGTGTGGTAAACAACTATATTTCCGTAAAAATGGAATGTAAGCTTGATATTATATCATCCTTTTCTATGATATTCAACAATTCAGTAACAATATAGACATTACAATAATATTCATCAGGATATTCTGGCATTTGAGTATATCTACATAAGAAAAATTAATTCTACAATAAGTCATGTAATTAAAAAACTTTGTCCCTGCCAGAAGTATTGCTACATGAAATAAAAGGGCTTGTAGCCCCTAATTGCAAGATTACATCATAAATAAAATCGTATACTTACTTTTTTACGTGTGGACCTAGTCGATGAGAAAATTTATTTCTCTAGTACATACGTAAAACTTCGGACATAATAATAATTTTAGGTGCCTATTAAACTACAGAGTACAAATTTTGGGCATGGAGATATAGTTTGATCACATAGAATATTTTCGGTATTTGCAGTACTCAAAAAAATTTTTTTATTTTATTATTGAAATATAAGGCATCTTTGAAGTTCCGTATCCCACTAAACTCAATTCCTAATTTTCGTGTGATAACGAATTTTTATATAGTAGTCAAAATTGTCGTCGGCACGCTGTTAGTTTTCCAGAATATTCTGCTTTTTACTGGTATGGTGGCAAAACAAAACCTGCAATGATGGATCATCGATTGTAGATTTCTAAACGAAACAAGTTTGGTCGTATTGATGCGATAAACATGAGGATGTGATCAGAGGGTAAATTTCGCCAAGCTTTGGCCTTTTGTCAATGTTTTTTTCAATGATCGGCCACAATGTTCCGGTACCGCCATTTTGAATATATGGTAGTTCTGATGACAAATTCGTAATCAGCGATCGGAAAAACTCTACGGAATTTTTGGTGGCTTTAGACCGAGATTCGATAGAGACGTATCGAAACATTGCAGTTTTTCTCAAAAGGGCCCATTCTATTTTTTAGATATTTTTGGCTAAAGTATTTTTTTTGAACTCCAACTTTATTACAATCTGTCTTAAAAATGGTACAGACTTTCAGTAGTACATGTGACGTTAATTTATGAGGACATGGAAGTGATGTAGCCAGTAATACATCTGTAGTTAAGTAGTTAGACTTTTGAAAAAACACAATTTTGAGGCATTAATATACAGGGTGTGAAAAAATATCAATTTGCGTTAGGGTCCATCTCTGGCAACCCAAATAAGGTTATAGGACTCCATTACTGATGAAATCAAACTGAATAAGGAGGGTAAGGGCAGGGTTTTCGCGTTTTCAGAGAACTGTTAGCGTTTTCGAAACGATGGACGACAGGGTGATATGTTTGTCTGTTTTGCGCGGTGCCATCTTAAAATTGCAATGATGGCTTCGCGCCATCTCACCATTTTATAGCACAGGTCAGATTATTGGAGTAACACAATGTATAGGAATTTGAAAACAGAAACGAAATTTCATCTGGAAGATGTGATATACCATATTTGACAATAAATGTCACTTGTATGGAAAAAGACCACAGTGGCGGTCGAAACGTCGTACAACGAACTGAAATCTAAATACACCTATATATGTGGACAATGGAGTCCTACGAACATGAAAACCACAAGTTTCAGGAGTTACGTTAACCAAATGAGTTAATTGCACACCACGATACTGGAGTGCCCTTGGGTAGGAGTGGAACGTCCCCGTGATGTCACCGCTTAGGCAACCAGTTATACGTCCATGCGCGTGCGCTTGCAGTGTTATCTAAAAGGCTAGGCCGAGGTCACGAAGAACAGAGATAGGGGGTTAAGCCGCGTAATATCAATCTCCTCGCCAAGGATGTGGCGTAGTCTATATGTTCATTTCACTCACGTTTTGCCATACTTTACAGGTTTATCAATATTGTCCAATATTTCTGATTGCAACTCGTCCGAAACGTCAAAATTGGAGTTGTTTACAGTGATGATGACAGCAACAGGGAGAGATGCCAATTGAGCAAAACCTGAAATTCATTTTGTGCACAGTGTCCACACGAGAAAGATATCCTATGCGCAGCACATGAAATTCATTTGTAGCGCAGTGTACCACAAACTTCATCGACATTTTTTGCTTCACTTCCACTCCATGATTTTAACCTCTATGTCTAGTATCCATGGCCGAGATTCAAGAATCATCGAGATCCTCCTGGAAGCACCTACCTACCAATTTTTAAAACTGAGATTACAGAAAATCATGAAGATTTTGATAATTTTAAAAAACTTTGTTGCTGTTACAGCCTACTGTGAAATGTGAATGGTAAATATTCACTTAAGGGTTACTCGAAGGTGCATCACTGTTATTTTAAAATCCATGGGTTGATGAACCCTCAAAAGGCAATCAGCCCTCAAGGGTCCACTATAAATGTGGGTCTTAGTGCCGTATCGTCAGTCGTTCTTACAATTGTAGGACGCCTTTATAGCCTCTTTTACTTTCATAGTTTTCTACTGTTCCGCGTCAGCGCTCTATTTTGAGGTTATGTCGCAAATACCTATTTGCATCAAATTATCCATGCTTTTGATTTATAGTATCTGCTTTATTAGCCTAAAGCCTCCTACAACTCAAGAAGAAAACAGCCTCACAATAGGAGAGCGCTGACGCTAACACGGAACAGTAGAAATCTAGGAATACTCCAGCCGTTCTGAAGGAGAGAAAACACTATGGGAATCAAGGAGGACATAAAGGCGTTCTACAATTATTGTAGGAACGACTGACGATATGGCTCTTGAAGGCTTGTTTTCCGCAGGTAGGACTTTTTATGGGAATTTGGTTGATTATTTTTTGTGCTTTTTGGTACCATTTTGTAAAATGTACTACTCTTGACGAATACTTCAGACCTTTTGGCCACTTTCTCAGGCCACCTCACTTCAGGTAACCTCACATGTCAATGCGCTCCATTTGTCAAAGTGAGATGGGATTCCTCACTCCCCCCTCGCTCTTGAACCATGTGCTTCTCGGTAAATGCTTTATATCCGTTTAACAATCTTCCTGTCATCTTCTTGCAACTGCCGGGATCTTGCATGAAAATCAATCAGTTGAATTTTTTATGGAAGTTTGTCTGCAATCTGGTGGAATAGGTAATAACTTGAGAGTTACCAATGATTCAAATGGCCCTGACAGGTCCGGTGATTTTATTTGTTTACAGAGATACGTTTGATGATGTTTGATGTTGGATGGTCGCCGATTGAAACTTGTTTTTGGATATTAAAACCACGTGTACTGAAGTCGTTTAGGTTGGGCAATCTTGCTCATTTGATTCGAGAAAACAGGGTCTTCTTGCAACTGCAAGAGCTTGCATACAATGATCTTGCGGAATGTAAAACAGTTTTTAGAGAGAGTTTTGCCGCACTTGATTAAATAATTAGATGAGATTATTTGTTGAATACGTTTACCTATTTTCTGACGATTGGCGAATTTTAAATAAAGATTTGAATTAAGTTTTAGTTACAAATTTTTAGATATGCACCGATAATACGCAAAAAATTCTCACAGAACATTGAAGTCTGACGTTTTAGATACATGTTCCGTGCTTGTGAGATGGAAATCTTACTTCACCGTTACTTTTGACATGTGAAAAACATAAAAGGCAATCGTGGGCATATCCGGAATAACGGAACAGGAGCAGAAATCAAGGATTGGTAACCCGAGCGGCGTACGTTACTGCTTATTGGCTTCTTTAGGCCAAAATGGATGTGTGTCGAAAATACCGAAGTGAAAACTTATGCCCATCACAAGAAAGTAAATGGAAGTACCACTAGAAGCCATCAACAAGAGTCAACAGGCACATTTGTGGCTTCGACCAGAAGACCTAGTGCTTACGAGGTATCAACCAGCGTCGCCACAGAGGCCAGCTATAGCTACCTATCATGGTACTTCAAGCCCATAAGTAAGCACGAGGTCTTCTGACCGAAGCTACAATTGTACCTGCTGGCTCTTGTTGGTGGGTTCTAGTTACATTTCCCTTTCCATCCTTGTTTTCCATCAGGTTACACCCGTATCCAGATATAATGGGCATATGTTTTCACTTTGGTGCTTTCAATGCACATACATTTGGGTGAAGAAGCCAATCGTTGTATTTCTGTCCCTATTCCTTTATAGTGTCTCTTGTGTTTCATCTAAGTTTCCGCAAGACTACTTGTCTATCTTTGTATTTGAGAAAAATCACTCTTCTCCCTTGGGCAGTGAGCGTCACTCGGTTGCGGAAAGAAAGCAACTTCTGTAACAAATCTACTGTTGCCTGCAAATGGTGGCAATATCAGTAGGTTGCTCAGGCAGCGTAAGGAAATTTCTCATGGGCGCCGACTTGCCTGGTGGTTTGCACATGAGGTGCTCCTCGGTGAACTGGCAGGGGCAGGCGGAAGTGATGCAGTGCCGACCGCCTCTGCTGGTCCCGGCGACGTCGAGACGTCCGCGCACTCGCTCCCGGCCCCAACGGGAGGCGTAGCGGAGGTACAACAACGTGGCACGTTCCTGCAACAGAAAAAAATATTCCAAAATTACATGCGAAAGGTGATCTTGAGAAATTTTTTTTGTAGGGATTGTAGGGGGTTGTAGATGTAACGTCTTTAGTATTAGTCAAATACGTTCTATCCTTGATAAGCTTCTGATCCTTATAACAACGTGAAAATTAAATGACTAAAGTCCGATGTATTCTGTGCTCATAATTCGAATTCACTTGGCAATCGTTGCCGTTGCGTGCACGGCGGGATGCCGAATGTGCAATGGATAACAAACACCAACTGGTCTGCGGTGGTGTCGACACTGACACACCGCTACAGGACAAATATTTATATATTTTAGCAAAATTTGGATATTAGGAGTACGTACTACATTAGCGTTCCGTGATGCTTTTGTCAATGATGACGACTGTTTTTATACGTACGCATATATTTTTCTGAATTTAATGATCCTTGAATGTACCATCCATTTCGTCTAACATTTAATTTGTGTTACTCCGTCTATGATGGTTCTCTGAATGTTTTGTCAAGTAGATTGACTCAGTACTTATGACGCATTGAGATATTCAACAGACTCGGACTGGCAAACCGACATGAATGAGAAACACGGACATGTGCGATGAAGATATGTTTAACCCTTTGTTTCTCAGTGGTTTCACTGTGAAACCACGTATATACAAATTCCTTGCTACGTTCCTTTGCTTGAAACCACTTACAGTATATGTATTACGTATAAGGCTCCCCCCACCTTGAAATTTATTGCGCTCCGCCATTTGCATTCGCGTTGCTCATGTATTAGTCGGTAATAGAACGTGTTTTGAACTGGGTTAGTGGTATAAGCAATTTTGGTGGTTTTTAGATCATTTCGCTATGACAGGTAAGTTTATTTTTTGATTTAAAATTTTAAAAATATTTGTATCGTATGGTTAATGCTCCCTATTACTTAAAGTTATCAACTTACAATACTTATCGGAGATACAAAATGCCGGTTTCACCGTGAAATTACTAGGAAATTATTTATTTTTTTTATTTCAGGAAAAGGAGTGTATACATTCAGAGAGCTGGAGAATATGTCGTCGGATGATTTATATGCATTATTAGAGAGCATTCCTTCGAATGGCGAGTCAGATAAACCGACTAGTGATGAAGATGATTTGTTTGACATTCCGAATATGCCAATAATATTTGAAGATGACCAACCAGACCAACCTGCAAGAGTCGACAATTCTGAGAATATTCCTGGTGGTGAAGCCTTCTCAGACGAGGAAGGCAATATCCTCTTTCTATTTTGAGGGATAGAGAACTAGCGAAAAGGACAACCTGGACCAAATCAACGGCATTTTGCGTTACTAATATCAAGCAGTTCATTGAGGAAACTGGACCTAAAATTCCAGACGATCTGGAGAAGCCAGTAGATTTTTTTTATACTGGTTTCCCAGAACTCTAATTGATAAAATGTTTTTGAAACAAACCTCTACGCTCTTCAGAAACATGGAAGAGACTCTTCATTTACCCCAACTTCTGCGAAAGAAATTGAAATTTTCATTGCAATCAAGGCAGCAGCGGTAGCCGCAGTAGTAGACTCTTCGGTATCCTGATCTGTCGCCGTGCGATGGGCGGGTTCGAATCCCGTCCCAGGAGAAATTTTTCTCTTGACTATGGATGTTGTGATTGTCCGTAGGAGGTAGACGGTCTCTAACTGTCGAACGCGGAGGTAACACCCGGCGGATCTCGTAGGCGGAGCCAGAATGTGTGCATGTTGCATGCACACGTGTTCCCTCGCCAGTGTCCGTGTGGCGTTCCCCCTTTCCCCTGAATCCCCCTATGGTCCCACGGTACCCAATGGGTGTTTCGGCCTTAGGCCTTCGTGGTAGTTGGAGTATAAAAAAATATATTGATGGGAATCAAAAGGTTGCCCAGTTATGTCGATTACTGGTCATCTAGAGAGGAATGACGAGATCACTACATAAGTTCAGCAATGTCTAGAGATCGGTTTCCTTGGCATCTCGGAAATGTGCATTTAGAAGATGGTCGCGACTCGCCAAATTATGACAAGTTGTATAAAGTTCGCCCTTTATTGGAGACTTTATCTGAAACCTTTCGTTCTTCAAATGGCACTTCAAAACATCAATCCATCGACGAATCTATGATTCGATTCAAAGGTCGCAGTTTCTATAGCAGTTTATGCCTCTCAAGCCCAACAAACAAGGTTATAAAGTCTGGGTTCGATCCGATGATAACGGGTATGTCTGCCAATTTCAAATATATGTTGGAAAAACTAATAATCAACCTGAAAAAGATTTGGGCCAAAGAGTTATCTTAGATTTGACTCGAGACTTGGTAGCAAAAGGATATCACGTTTTCTTTGACAACTTTTTTAACTCTGTGCCATTACAGAAAACACTACAAGCAGAATTTATTTATGCATGCGGCACTGTCAGGACTAACCGAAAAGATATCCCAAAAGATTTAGTATCTGACAGAGAATTGCTCATCCGAGGACAATCTGACTGGAGGGTCAGCAACGATGGATTGGTGTTTGTAAAGTGGAGAGACTGAAAAATAGTGCATTTTCTCGGAAATCATCAGAACCCTCCAGAAGAAGCAACTGTTTCCCACAAGCAAAAGGAAGGAAATTCACAAGTCGTAGCCTGCCCAACGATGGTCAAGGAATATAACCAGCATATGGGCTACGTTGACAAAACATATATGCTCAAATCTGTGTATGAGATAGACCGCAAATCTAAGAAATGGTGGCATCGAATTTTGTGGCATTTCATAGATAGGTGTTGTGAATTATTTCATTCTCTTCAAACAAAAAGCGAATTGCCCGGCTCCAAACCTGAAATTTTTCAATTTATCTGTAGCTTCAGGGTTAATCGGCGCCAGTGATGATAAAACTTCACGGAGTAAGGTTACAGCAAAACATTTCAAGAAAATTGTGTTGAAAAACGCTTTGATCAATGTTTGCATATGCCACAACACGGGACATCCAGACGATGTGCCTTTTGTAGCACTAGTAAGGATCCTCACAGAACCAGGTGGGAATGTGTGACTTGTAAGGTTGGATTGTGCCTTACGGAAAAAAACTGTTTTTCGTTGTATCATAAAAAGTAACCTAAGTTTTATAATGTTATTTAGTTATCAGGTTTTTATTGGCTTGCACTAGTTTCCTAGTGGTATCATGTCGAAACCATAGTCAAATAAAAAAATATATATAAACAAATAAATGTTTTTCACTTTTTTGTCTTTTAGGAACCCAATAGAATGAGATTATTTAATTTTTACCTCAATTTTTTGATGTAAAAGTTTTCAGGAGACGAAGGGTTAAGCAACAGAAAACTTGTCCACCGAAGTTCGAATATTATTGCGAGTTTAATAATTCCATCGTTTAGGTAGTCGTAGATTTTGAAATAAAATCGCGTTTCAGTGATTCCTGCTCATTTTCAGACATTGTTTGGAGAGGATGAAAATTGTAGGTTGGAAGCTGTATGCGGTAAATGGTTGTAAATTGTTCCAAATTTGGTGTCGGTGAAACACCTATAATTAAGAAGCTGCGAATCTCAATGATACTATACACCTGTTAAACATAATGAGTGACACATGTTTTCTTTACGTCTGCAATGGACACAGAAATATGATTTTATATAGTTTGATATGCAGAGGTCGGAGATTCATCGTACCTAAGTGAACCTACCTTATCAAGATTCTATTTCGCCTTTAGAAACGATATGACTCATCTCTTTTATTTGAAACCCCCCAACAAAGGCGTACGAAGTATAGAGGCAATCTACTTGACGCCATTATTTTAAAAACCATAGTCATCATACAAAGAACAATCCTTGCCCTTTCATATGTCATTAAATTTGCTTAAATATGTATTTGTTTTGCTGAAATATGGTATTTTGGAATTTTCATTTTCCTGAATTTCACTATATTTAATACTCTACACGCTATGAGTACGTGTCTATCAAAGTAGTGGTTTGGGTTATGATATACCAAAGACTTATAACCCATAATAACAAATTAATGTATTTTTATGAAATAAGATCTGTCAAATAAAAAACCTTTATATTTTCAACCAACCTACCCCCCCCCTCCCTTCCTACGAATCCTGTTGGACCTTAAAATTTGCATATTGTATACAGTTTTGAGAATTTTTGAGCTCATAGACCAATATTTTCACATTTCGGAAATGTTCTTTGTTATAAATAAAATTTGCATAATATTTAGTGATTTAGTGTATAATTTTAGAGGTTCTTAGGATTTGCAAGTTAATTTCTGATACGCCCATAAATTAATAATAAAAAGCCGCGCAGCCCTACTTAGAGTAACAAAATGAGCGTTTTGGGGACATGGGCGCCTGCAGAATTTTTTCTCAGGGGGGGCATCGACAAGACATATTTTTTTTAAAGTGTACCTGCCTCCGAAGCTTTATGAAGATCAAAAGTGTATCTGCCCCGGAAACTTTAAGCAGGGCGAAATAGCAAGGTTCGCCCACATCCTAAGCATCTTTAGTACACAAAATCATGTTAAATATGCAAATTTTAGGGTCCAGTCGGATTCTCAGGGGGGGCTATGGACCTCTTGGCACCCCCCCCCCCCTTCCGAGTACCCATGGTTGGGGTCTCCCAATGACTTCAGCAATAATCTGACATCAGATTAGTGATCAATTTACCTAAAAAAACGGTCGAAATTTTTGAAATTTCTCCTCGGTTAGTTGTTTCTCAATACGCAGTTTACATTTACGTTCTCCATGGGTACTATGCTAAGAGGGAGCGAGGGATAACTTGGAACGCTGACTTTGAAACTCGGATATAATCACCAAAAAATCGTCAAGTTTTTGGGATTCCTCGTAAGAAAGTGACGCCAGATTAGTAATCTACACACCAAGTATATCCAGGAATCGGATTTTAATCTAACAAATTTTGTACGAATATTATATATGCCCATAAATTTGAAATATTTTCTTTAAGCGTTTTTGTTTTTTTCGTACATACTGAATATAATAATCAACGATACCTACACTATAGTAAGACAAAAACTTAATATCAATAACAGGTATATATAAACGAACAAATATGTTTAACTAGAGTAAGCATTGCAACAATCCATGTCAATATTTACAATTTATATCGACTAATCAGATATATCAAATATTTTATTGATATAGATTCTATTTAGTCGTATATTGGGCAACCTAAAAATACAGGGTCCGGCACAAAGGACGGATGTTTTTGAAATGGCTAGTACTCTCCGCCTATTAGGGCAAGGATGGTGGGGAGAGTGCCGTTCGACTTGGGCGTTCTTAGCATTTTTACCAGTAGACATGTATTATGGAGCATTGATGATTTTTTCCTATGGGGACACCTCAAGGCTCGTGTATCTGAGCGCAAGCCCCGAACTCTGGACGAGTTAACTTCGCGTGGAAGTCGCCCAAGTTGAGAGACCCTTTTCGCACAAAGACAACAACACTATTTTCTGTTGTGTGACCAGCACAACGAATTCGAATAGATAAGAAGGGGCCATGTCTATATGTCTACATTGGATGTTTAGCACCTAATTTTAATGCATATTTTAACTCATTTGTCTAGCAATCGAAAATGACCGCGTTCTATCAACATAATAATAATAATACGTAAGGATGAACATATACATCTACCTTCATTAGGCTTATGCCGCACTTTGCAAATTATGTAAGAAGCACTACGCCTCAAAGTCGTCTAACACCTTAATTACCTGCAAACACTCGTAGTTTTACACAAATAACACTAAATATACGATTTTAATGACACAACTGGAAAAAAATTGACTCATGTCACGAGCACATTGATCCTCACTACAGACTCTTAGAATTAGAAGACAAACAAATCCTTGACCTAGTCTAAATTCGTTGGACTAGCCCAGCACGACGAAAACATGAGGATTGTCTACTGAATTAAAGTAAAATCGTTCTTAATAGTGATTAAACTAACTTGTGCCAGTACTAACACTCTTCAGAACTATTACGCACACTACAATTTACCCTAGTATATGCCTAGCCTGGCCATTGTCCTCGACCACCACGGACAGCAATCTCTCGCCGCATCCGCTTCAGCACCGGGAGCCTGTCTATCCGCCAGTAACTCCTCCACGTACTGGCACGGACAAAGAGCGGTGTTCAGATGTCTAGGACGGGCACTTGCGCCGGCGCCCAGCGTCTGCCCACCGGCGTCCAGCAACGCCCAGTCTAGGCGGCGACGTAGGAAGTCCTTGGCCCAGCGCTGCATGTGACGGAGGAGGAGCTGTTCGGATCGGCCCTGCAGAAAGGGGCGTTGTTAATTCTTATGTGGTGTGGGGAGCGGGAAGATCCAGGGGCTCGGAAGAGAAACAGATGTTGCAACAACAGACGTAGCCTTTCCGTGAAGTAGTAGGAGCTGTTGGAACGACCCCGCAGAATAGCCGGAGTTACAGTATTGGTGATAAAGGGTGTGGGAACACGGACGAGCTTTGAAAAGGAAATGTGTTGCAAGAATAAGGCGGTATATCAGGACGTTGTGAAGTAGTAGAAGCTGTTCGAATCGGTCCTGCAGAATGGACGGAGTTACAGTAATTGTGGTAAAGGGTGGGAGAAGAACAGGGAGGATCTTAAAAGAGGAAAAGGTGCTACAATACTAGGGCGGGACATCAGGAAGCAGCCTTACTATAAAGTTCGGACTGGTTCTGTGAAATGGGTGGGGTTACAGTAAGGCCGTTTCCTGATTTGTCGGTGCGGCGGCGGTATGCTCTGTTACCGAATCAATACCGGATTGCTCCCATCTACGAATTACCCGGTATGAAATTCTGCAGTACGGCTCGTTTTGTGGAGAGATGTCGTCTTCGAGTTCGAGTGATGATGATATTTTGGCGTGTTATTTGTATCTCCGTATACGTAAATAAAGAAAACCTTATTGGCGTCATCCTTACAGCGAAAATAATATCAACTGTCGACTATTGTTGCAGCAAAAGAAATTTCACATGATGATACAAAATTTTTATCTATGTATAGAATTTCAAAAGAAACATATCAACAGCTTTTGAATCCTATAATTAAACAACGCAGGATGCTTTTCAATTTCCAGTACTAAGTTAATGTATTTCGCCATTTTGCAGCGCATGTACGTATACTTGCGGTGAATCCCGAGCGCCGCCTGGACGAGAGTGCCGAGACGCGGTAAACCGAACGGAACCCTCCCAGCTACCGCACAATCTGCGCCAATCAGAAAGGACTCAATGAAATATAGGCGCTCGGTAAGTTTTCGGTACCGCGTATACCGAGCATTCCGCCGCCGCACCGATAAATCAGAGAACGGCAACGGCCTAATTCTGGTAAACGGTAGGGGAACGCAAGAATCAGCTCCGAAGAGGAAAAGATGTTGCAATAATAAGGCGAAACATCAGGACACAGTCTTATTGTGAAGTAATAACTGTTCGGATCATTCCTGCAGAATGGGTGGGCATACAGTAATTGTGAAAAAGGGTGGGGAAGAACAGGGAGGAGCTTGGAAGAGGAAGATATGTTACAATAAAATGTGTCAGCAAAGCGCATTGAACCTTAAAGTATGGAAATTGCGTATTTAGATGAAGACTGCTAGGATAGGAAAAATTGTTAAGGAATGTATGGCAATTGCGTTCAATAATAATGAGAAGGAATCATTCGGATTGGCCAAATGGAAATGGGACGGGGCTAGCGAACAGATGAGGGTATGCATAACTGCCGCAGTAAGATAATGGGAAATGCCCACGTGGAGTTATTCGGGTTGGCTTTTTGAAATAAGGTGGAGTTAATGCAGCTTCGATGGAAAGTGGGGGAAGAACGGAGAACAAAAAAGGGAATGAGCTAAAAGGATGCATGAATCATTGAGGTGATATAATGGATTGTTGAAGATCTCTAATATAAGTAAATTACAATTAGATTTAAAAGGTACCACTAATACTAAATGCACTTAAATCTGCTTTATTTATTATTACCTCTTCGGAAATTATATACTATACATGCTGTATAATATACAACCATATCAGATACTCTATCTGACTCTATCAAACTGACAGTAGCGCTATTCGTATGACATTAACATAAATATAAATGGTCACAAAGTACACGGTGGTTTTATGAAGAAATCGATCTAATTTTGAGAACAAGTAAATATTCGAGAAAGATTCGAAACCACGTTAGCCGCAGTTTTCGAATTTAGCAGTGATCTTCCAATTTTTGAGGTGTGGTTTTTTTAGTTATTCGCGAAACTCTTCAGTGATGCCACAAACAAAAGAAGCATATACTAATGGGCGTAGTTAAGTTATATGTTCCCATATCTACAAAATAAGATACTTTTTTCGCGTGCACATCATATATAGGTAAAGCTGACAAACTGCCTTTTAATCGCCTCTTCCGTACCGTCTTTAACGGCGTACAAGTGTAGCATGCAACAAATAATTATAGAACGAGGTGACTTGGTCATGATATGAAAAAATAAATATGAATAAATATGCAGTGTTAGTTGTATAAATAAAGCAGAAGCAAGTGTTAATGGAACATAACAAACGTAACAAAAAATATCTGGCTGTGCAACTAAAAATAAATACAATAATGTTTGACAAAAATATACATCCGTAACGTTACATCAATCAGAAACATACACAAAAAAACTAACATTCACACATGTAAATCGAGAACGACAATAAATTATATGCATATAATAATTGATCTAATTATAATACATAAAGGTTGTTATTTAAAACAAGCATTCGTCAAGGTGGCATATAAAAACGTATTGTTTATTATTCTACAGCATGTACGATATAATATAAATACATAAGAAGGCATAAAAATAAAGCAGCTAGGTAGACTCTCATATGGTAAAAGCAACATTTCAACTAAAAAACTAATAAACTAGTGCAAGAAAATACGCACCAAACGGTGACTTTCAAACACTCAACTCTTCTAAATATTCAAACTTCATATCACTCACAATTTTCCAAAAATTTAGAATTAGAAATAGGTACATCAAAAACATTATTTCTTCTATCGTTTGACATGGATCGTAAGCGACTAAGATACCGATGCTTTTACTCTTAGCTCATAACAGTTGAATACATACTAATTATAATGATTTTCAAAGAAATATATGCACTGACCTGTTTTCTGGATAGTCTAGTGGTCCGACTACCCTGGATGACAATATCTCCCGCGGAAATGTCCATTCTCCTTTCCCAGCCACTGGAAGGTTCCCGTTCCTGTTGGTCGATGCTAGACTGCAGATGTGCTATGCATGGTGCGGAGTCCATATAGATAAAGCATAGAGTCACCTAAAAGTATAATGTTTGATGATTTTAAAGAATTCAAAAAGTTTAGAGACTTTAGAAAATTTGAGGAATTGAGAGAATTTAGGAAGTTTGGAGAAGTTACAGGGTTTAGAGAATTTACAGAATTCAGAAAATTTAGAGAATTTAGAGGATGTAAAGAATTGAGATAATTTGGAGGACTTAGAGAATTTACTAAATTTAGAGGATTTAGAGAATAGGGAATTTTGAAAATTTGGAGAGTTAAAAAAAGATAATTTATGGAATTTAGAAAATTTAGAAGATTTAAAAAATATAGGAAAACTCGAAGATTTGGAGAATTTAGAAAATTGCGAGTTTTGAGAGAGTTTTTAGAATTCAGAGGATTTAGAATAGAATATCCGGGGATAGTTCGAGTTTGTTTGAGCAAACTTAGAATTTGTGAAACTTAAACTCACCTTATGGCAGCTAATTTTCCCCCGATCATCCAATGCCAAGACCAGCTTGTGCCTGAGCAGCTGTTTGTTCACCTGGGCCAGGCACTTTTCGAGACCGCGTTGCAACCTGTATTTGGCGTACATGGAGAGAAAAATAGCGCCCGCGTTGAGCACCAGCCAGCCTATACCGAGGCCAAAAAGTGCCAAACCGGTGAGGCCGGAGAAAAGCAGCCCTAAAAGGGCTATGAAGGCCACAGTGATCCAGCAGACCAGCACGCGTTTGTAGCAGACGTTGTACAAAGAGAATCGAACGTCGTTTACTAGGAGCTCCATTGCTTGGACATACTCTTCTACAGTTAGCTGGAATTAAATGTAGTCCATTGGTAACACGAAGTGTAAACAATAATCTAATTCATTTTTCTAATTTTAATATTGTTTAAAAGAAACACCTATTAACATATCTGCATGTTTTCAGGCCCAACATTTCGTCACAAATTGAATAAACGCCTTTTTAAGCACGTTTCAAAAAGACTATGGGCAACGTTTCTTAGGATTTTTGGAGCATTCCGAGCAAAAAAGGTTCCTTAAAGCAGATAGTATTCCAGATATAAGCAAGTTATTATTTAATAAAGCGCAAAATACACCATTTTCGGCCCCGAAAAATAATACGTAATACGAAAAAACGAAAATGTTAATGTTTAAATTTGCAACGTTTGGAGCTGTCTAGCTCTTCTGCTGTGTTCACCACTACGGCATTTGCACGATATAAGCAAACCTACGCTGCTGGAAACATCCAGGACAACATTATGAATACACTCGCGAAGTATCAATATCATCTTGGAGACGCTCACGGTTAACAAATACCAAATCGATGACCACGTTATTGGTGTAGGAATGTGCCAATTTCGGTTTTTTAAATCCGATTTGTGAATTCGTTAACCTACAACGAGCGGTGCCTGATTTAGATTCTGATGCATGTCGTACGTTTTCACTTGTCACGTTGGATATCCGCACGAGTGTTATGTAAAAAACCTATAAAACGTCAAAAAAAAAACCTATAAAATGCCTTCTTGCAGACTAGGTAGTTTTTAGGGTATATATTAAGTATATCTATTAGCTGTGCCCGACGGGTTATTTATTTGTTGTTTACTCTGAATAAAGGTTATGTTCAAGGTTATAAATTACGATTTTTGTGTGTAATTACTTTTAGCATGTATATGGCTTGTAATTCGACAGTGTACAGTGAATATAATTATTTCTTATCAGCGAATTTGCATATGTTATTTTCAGAATGGTTAAGAAAAGGTGGACGCGCAACTAATTTCTAGCTTCGAATCTCAAGTAAGTGTATTTGTGACAAGAATCCAATGGAATTATCATCAACACATTATTAGCACACAAATCCTCACTATGCACCTGTGCATTGCCGTTACATCCAGCAATGCCATCTATGAAGCAGATTTTACATCACATCAGAGCCAAACATTGATAGCTCAAGCCTCACGTAGTTTAGCCAACACGTATAACTACAAAACGAGTTCACAACATGTCCATCTGCTTGTAGAAAAACCTACATGATACGTAATACCCGTGCGGGTCGGGCTAGTCCATTCAGTTTTTTTCGGAATAATATCTTGGTGACCTTCCTGTATTGGTACACATGGAAATCCAAATATCACTGACGTCATAATACGTAAGAGAGACGCAGGAGCAGCGTGCAATACGTGTGTTAGAAAGGGTGCGTCATTGGCAACGCGGCAGGCCGCAGTTGCGTAAGTGGCCTTGTCATTGGAGTTTCTAGGCATTGTGATGTTTCTATCTCTTTCTAACATACGTATTGCAGACTACTCGCGCTTCTCTCTCGTACTCATTACGACGTCAGTGGTATATGGATTCCACTATACTCGTATACATTACTATGAAGATTTGCTTATTGTTACATGAACCATACGTTGCGTAAATGGGAGTCCCTACTTTAAAAAAACTGTATTTTCAGGTTTTCTATCAGACATTTTTCGAAAACCCCTCGTATCTGTCATTTGGATGATCCCAAACGAGAGCCAAATACAGGTACATACAAATTTAAAATGTTAGAAAGGAAGTGAAACAATAACGGCTATCATATGTCAACCTGTTTGTGAGTCACTCAATTCCTTTGTACAAAGTCATTAGTATTACAATCCGTCGTTATCAGAATATGGAAATGTTTGTGCACTGAATAATAACAATAAAGTTGCATTTCTACTGCATATACTCGCGTATACTGCTGGAGAAAATAATCTCAATTTGTACCTATGTATATTCCGTGTTCAAGGTCGCCAAATTATTGTGTTTTGATGGCGCCCGCAATTAGATACGCACATTAGAGCGACAATGACACACATACAAATCTTATGATGCATATTTAATGAGAATATGTCATGTGAACTATGTGAAGAGATGTCTGTAATGTGACCTCGCAGTTACAAGAGTCACACAAAGTTAAAAAACAGCGCTTGTTCTACCCATATTTTAAGTACAACAATTGATTGATGTTTTCTACCTGAAGATAGTCAACCATACGCTGTACTAAAGTCCATTTATCGAAGACAGAAACTAAAGCCAAACATATTCGCGCTCACTTCACGTGATCGGACTCCAGAACCAGAACGATAAGCAGGTTATAGTGCCGGTGAGGCTGTATGCACCGCCGTATCGTCTACCTGGAATTGACGGATCCGTCAGAATTATGTGTCCTTTGCCGATATGGGGAATTTTTAAATATCACTAGATAATCCAGATGTCATTCTACCGTAATGGATACTCGAGAAAAAGATTATATGGGATCGACCAAATTCTGCCAAATAACACTTAACCTCCTCGATGGTTTTGTTTAAATGACTTTTTCCGATAAATAGCTGTTGACCGTGGCCACTTCGCGTGGAAATTTTGATGTGTATATGTGAGAACTGCATGCCTGAGAGCAAGAGAATTCCTTTGCTGGTTGCTCTAAGAGTCTAGTGTCATATGTATCGCTTCGCTTCTCTTCGCCTCAGTGGGCGTTTATCTTGACGTACGCATGATAGTCAGAGACCGACGAAATTACCTATTCATAAGAGGATTGGCTGAAATTCCATCAGTCAGTTCTAGGATTGAAAAGGCTCAAAAATATGACAAGGATTACTTATACTTACAGTTAATCCTTGTGCCATTAGTTCTTCAGGGACGAGTTCTGGACGGAATTGTGCAGGAGTGATCCATGGGCATTGAGTATTTACAGGAAGAAGAGTAACAATTATATCACCATTAGCTGAAAAAATAAACATGTTTACTTATACTATGATATTAGAAAGTGTAAAGAAGCAATGTAGACGCTTTTAGAATTGAGGCACACTACCAACATTCCTTTTTTATTTTTATTTTATTTTTTTAATACCGCGCAGGCAGAATATTAAATGCCGGGACACTGCGGCGGCTATGAAGATCCCAAAGAAATTTTGTTAATCCGATTTTTGAACTGCCTAAGGTTAGTAGAATAACGTATAATCTCGACACCCTCGGGACAAAGGAGCGGTCGTCTCGGCCAGTTCTGGATGTTCAAAGTTTAACACGGTTGGAATGGGAGGCCAAAGTTGGTGCCGGAAACCATACTGCCTGTCGCTAATCAAGCCGTGACGTTCGAGGTAGCCCGCGATTTATGCACCTCTCCATCACCTTACTTATAACAGAAAGCAGAGCTATAGGCCTGTAGTTGTAAGGATCTTTTTTTGCGATGGGTTGGACATGAGCAAATTTCCAGTTTTCTGGGAAGGTGCCCGATTCATAAGATATCTGGAAGAGACACGAAAGAACTGGAGCAAGCTCCGCTGCACACCTCTTCAGTACAATGACAGGAATCCGGACCAGAAGCTTTGCTGATGTCGAGCGACAAAAGCACCCGTCTTACGGTCTTATGCCTGAATGTTACTACCCGCACAGTGTAGGGAACCATTTGAATTGACGGCACTTGCGCGTTGGAGGGAAGTCCATAGTGGAGTTGGCAGTAAAGATCTTTGCAAGCACTTCCGCCTTGGCCTTTGAGTCGGTTATAATCGTTTCATCCTGACACGTATGTGGTGTAAGGCTACTATGAGAGAAGTTCCTTTCGATCTGCTTGGCCAGCGTCCAGAAAGATCGACTGCCATTAAGCTGCCACATTACCCTGTGCCTAACTTTTATATCGTGCCGGTTTTTGGCATTGCGAACCGCTTCGTTATTTTTCTTTCTGGACTCGACGTCGGCTTGTCTGTTCTCTACAGTGGGATTTTGTAAGAACGTTATGTGTACCTTGATCTTCTGCTGGCGGGCAGTGTCACACGATTTGTTGAACCATCCGTTGGACGCTGGTTTAGGCACTTTTACTGTATGAGGAATGAATTCCTATACTACACGGTTTATGATTTCGGTTGTTGAAGAACAGACGGCCGACGAATCCGCGTCAGCGAAACAAACATTGCTCCAAGGAAAGGTAGAGAAGAAGTCTCCGAGCCCCTCCCAGTCGGCATGTCCGCAATGCCAAATTTTGCGGCCTCGCGAGTTTCTGCTACCTCAGCGGGTTCTGTCCGAAACATAACCTCCACAACATCGTGGTCTGAGTTACCCAGGGGGGGGACAGGACAGCAGTGCTGTAAAGGACAGGATGCGGGGTCAGAAAGAGATCCAGCAGGCTACTGGCATGTGATCTTGACTGCGAGGTATTCAAGAAGGTCATCCCAGTTATGGTCCGAGGGAGAGCGATAAAGGCAGCAAATAAATTTTGGGGGATGTTTTGGAGTTGAGGCGAAGCTACAGAATGTCCTTGTCTGCTTCCAAAGAAACATCTCTGGAGCATGAAAGACTGCTGCGGACAAAAGCCACAACTCCCCCGTTCTTTCTCAGATTGAAGTGCACCTCGTAATTTGGGAAGCTAAGATGGTTAATCGGTGCAGACTCAGAGATTTTAGTCTCCGCCAAGAAAAGAATGTCGGTCCGATTGGATTGCAAGTAGTGATGAACAGCATCAATGTTGCTGCTAATCCCGCAGATGTTCGTGAAACAAAGGTTATCTTCGATGTTGTTCCCTCGATTCCACCCTCCACCCGGACATTTTGAGAGTGGAGTGGGTTTACGTCCGGAATTCTTAGTACTCTAGGGATCGATCAGCATTATTTTCTTTGTTGGGGAAGATAAACGACTGCGTAGCTTAGGCGTGGAAACATGCGGACATTTATAAGACACCCTGGGAAAAACTAGCGGATGGTACCGCCTCCGTCGACTGGCCCTTGTCTACCACCTTCTATTTGCGTATTAATAACGTCAAATAGTGGCCCGTTGGCGGACTTGTACCGCCACCCGGCAATCGGTACTGACGTATTCCTTAACTCCTTAACACGTGAACAATCACTTTAACGGGAAGAACTTGTATACTGGATACAAAACAACTTCCTGAACAAGCATTTGCCACGGCACAGCTCAGTAGGGACGAAAATTTTGAATTCAAGAGACTGTTCTGCGAATTTGGTAAGATCTGAGACTTTGGATAATATAAACAATTCTTAGATAGTTTGGAGAATTTAGAGATTTTAAGGAATATAGGGAATTCAGGCAATGCAGAGAATTTACAGGATTTGGAAAATGTTGGCATTTCATAGAATATAGAGAAATCAAATTCGGAGAATTTAAATATTTTAGAGAATTTAGATAATTTATTTAATTGGTGAATTTAGATGATTTAGAGAATTTTAAAAATGTATGAAATTTAGAGGATTAGATAATACAGAGTCAAGAAGTATTTCCAACTCCATAACATTTTTGAACTAAATTCATGTAAATTTTTAATTTTGAAACAGCTTAAGGAAATACAGGCATACTTTTCAAATAGAGCAAAAAAATAGCAGGTACATGATGGCAACAATAATAATAATACGACTTGTCTTTGTTCCTTATTTGTATCATAATGAAGTGAAGATGCAGCTGACCTTTGTTTTGGTTTTATGCTTCTATAGACATTTATGATGCAAACCTTATTTTTCTTATTTTTCCGTAAAAAACAAAATTCTTGAAAATTACTATTATATCTTTAAATTCCAATGCCCCATCTAAAACTTAGATGTTACACCCTCGGCAAATATAGAAATATATGCATACAAGAATATTGTTTATTTTTAAAAAGCTGTCCAAATACGTACAAAATCCTTGCCGGATGGGCTCGACGGTAGCAACTGGCAATTCCACATTCCTCAGCTGCCTTTTGGGGTCCAGCACAGCAACATTATTTGTCGGTGGGGCCTCAATGGACCTATTTAGGCTCCGTTCTAGATTCACCTGTACACTTTCAGCTGCAAGGACCGCGGGGGCATCGTTTTTCTCGGCCCCACCGCCTGCGGGGGGCTCCTCTTCGAATTTCACCCACGTCCTGGCAGTCAAAGCAGGTTGTGGGGCCACCGGGGCCCCATTTCCGATGTTTCCATGGCCTGCCTCGACCGTTGGACCGCCGTTCGACTGTTCACTCATTTTATGAAATACTGCGTTAGATTTATAAAAACATTTTGTAAAGCGTATGGACGGATGTTATTGCTAGCGATTTCACTTCAGCGAGCTACACGTAAAAAATGAAAACGATAACTGATAAGTGGGGGCGTGACTTCGGTGTACCATATTTCAGGTGACTCGACGGACCATTAGCGGCGGACAGGTAAAACGTGAAACGCGTAACACAGGTACAAAGAAAACAGGTGGCAGGAAGTGGGAGAAAAATTCAACGTGCGGCTCTTCTATTTTTTTTATGTTCGAGTTGTAGAAAAACATTTTCATGGAAATAAAGAACGTTAATTCCCTTTCATGCATTTCAATTTGAGTTTTAAAGTTCAACCTTCATCATACATCTTACATTTTGTATAGGCAACACAGAATACTCACGCATGTATAGTGAGTTGCGTAGATCCAACATAATAAATCATAAGGAAATCGTTGTTGACATTGACGTATTTGTCACAACTTTGTGATCCACTTTCCACAACAAATCGTAAATTCCGATAATCCGGAATAATTATTCAATTCCTCAAGAGCTAATGCACCACCATTTTATCACTGAATACAAAAATGTCACGGTCTTCGACTAAGTTCGATATGAAGAAAGTGGTAAGTTCCTAATAAAACTCATGTAATCTATAATTTTACATCAATATTTTTACCCTTGCAGAATTCAGAGCTTGTAACTCTTACATATGGGGCCCTTGTCGCTCAGATGATCAAAGATATGGACACAACAGAAGATGTAAATAAGCAACTAGAAAGACTAGGTTACAATATGGGTATAAGGCTTATTGAAGACTTTCTTGCAAAGACTGGTTCTGGGCGATGTTTAGACTTGAAAGACACTGCAGATAAGATACAGACTGCCTTTAAAATGTATCTGGGGGTGCAGCCAAATGTTGCAAATTGGAGTGCTGCGGGAGATGAGTTTTCTTTTATTCTGGATACCAATCCTCTGACGGATTTAGTGGAGATTCCTGAGGATCTGAAGAACTTGAAGTATTGTAATTTGATCTGTGGGGCTATAAGAGGGGCATTGGAGATGGTCCAGCTTGAAGTTCAAAGTTGGATAGTTCAGGTAAAACTACAAAAATATTTTCATCACAATCACGAATAGGCTCTTGCAATAATAAGGATAGTAATAATAATAATAATAATAATAATCGTCTTTATTGACCAAAACATGTTTCATTACATGGGGCGAGATTAGGCATCTGCTATAAAACCATCAAAGCCAGTACAAAAGCAACTTTAGTTATACTTAAACAGACAAAAAAAATGTGCAAATAGATGGTTTAAGAGACAATGCAACAGAATAAGTACTGCCGATTCAGTTGTAAAAAGAAGAAGAGATAGGTTAGATAAGTTAACAGAAAAATAACTCTGATCAAAAATACTCGTACAAAGTATATGAATTAAAGGACTGCTTAAGCTAGTGGTTGTTCTGTAATTCTTGTAAATGTCCTTTGCATTTCAATTTTTTATTTTTGTTAGCTGTATTACAGGTATATCATATTTGGTACTGTTAGGTATCTTGGGGTGGTGAATAAGAATATGACATAAAAAAATCATAAAGTAGGCTTCAGCAACAAATTGACATCATAATTTGAATCTACACACAGGATTTATCAAGGAAACAAGTTTATGCTGAGATCACTCACGTATATACAGAGCTTTTTGAAAATTCTCTCAGGAAAATAAATCTGAAAACCCTGTGGATTGTTGCATCAAACTGACCTTGGAGTCAATATCTATGTATTCAATTTACTTGGGGTGCAAGTTTTTCTGAAGCAGATGGATAAGGGTTTCTAAAAAATGTTTGATTTTAAACTGCAAACCACTCTACAACAATGCTTCTTTTTTCAATATGTTACAAGAGAGAGAGAGAGAAGGAGATGGATACCATTCAAATTGCCAAATTTCTTCAATTAAAATTTGAAAGAAACATTGGTTTATTGATTTTTTATATTTTCCAGGATCAATTGAAAGGAGACCAAAACACAGAGATTAGGGTGAAGTTTATCAGGCGGTTAGAAGATGCTATGCCAGCTGGTGAAGATTAGGTTTAATTTTGTAAAATATTTATTATATTGGTTAATTTAACATACACAAGGCTTCACTATACATTGACCCCCTTAACTTTCTAATGACCTTCTAGAAGAAAAAGTTATATGCTCTAATATAAAGTTTTCCATGCATTTTGTTTGTATATTTCAGAAAAGTGATAAAGTATTTTTGTAAATGGAACACCATCTATATTTTCTGTGAAAATGATGGTGCCTTTTTCTAAATTCCAAATATACATGATTTGTTAAACTCATTTTTATAACTTATGTATTTTGACTATACCAGATTGCATAGGCTGTTAGATGTAAACTGGTTCTAACTCGGATACACATGGGTTAATGACACACGAAAATTAAAGTTTTTGGCCAAGCTAATGAAAACAAGTTAATAACCATATATATTTTTAATCGGAAAATCATTCTCACCTATAATATACAGGATGTTCCATTTAAAATGATACAACTTTATTCAATAGTACTTTTCTACAAAATAATATATGAAGAATTCCATGTTAGAGCCTATAACTTGTGTACAACTTTTTTGTAAGGTCATGCAAAAAATTTGTAGGGGGGTCAATTCCTAGCCTGATACCCCATACCCATGTAATCATAGAAATAAAATTCCATTATGTATGATAGAGATATTTTGTTTGTGACCAGTAGCCACCTTAACATAAAAATCAAGTCATTGTCCAAAGAGAACCACTGTGTTCATTATAGATTTTAGCTATCAAGTTACTGAAAAAAAGAAGGAACAGTTTACTCTGAAAAAATACTGAGTTTTCCAAGATGGCGACCAAATGCACAGAGATTTAAGTTTAAAAATTGAGAATCCAAATAAGATATTGAAGATCCTAGTGCCATCTACGAAACAGTCCTGCTACTGTCCCATAGAGGGCACAAGTATCTTTCAGATCCTTTTTGGATGCAGGAATACAGCATAGTCTGCCATCTTCAAGTAGAATACTATTAACCAATGTCTCTATTCTCTGACGTTGACCGTTTGGTATGGAATGTGACGTTTTATAGGTATCCGCACGGCTATTACGTAGCTTGAAAAGTGACATTTCGTCGGGTTTTTATTGACATTTTGAAGATTTTTTGTAACATAACGTAGGTTTTTCCATAAGATGTTAGCTTAGCATAAACTGTTGTACACTTGTTGTGAACTCGCACGTGCTGCTTAAACGTCAGCGAACAGTGATCATAGCGAGCAAACGTGGAATGAACTATCTGCACACTAAAAACTACCTAGTATGCAAGATGACATTTCGTGCTTTTTTACGTTTTTCAGGTTTTTTTACATAATACCCCTGCTGGAATGGAAGTCAAATTCTACTGGCTGATCCTTTGGGCAGGAAACACAAAGGGTTTAAGTAATTGGTCCTCTTTCAATATACGAATTTCAAATACGGTTATTTCAAGAGATGAATGAAAAAAATGGGGATAAACTGCATCATCCATGAAAAATAGATAATATTAATAATCCATTTCAGCTGTTGAAATTGCAATTTTTTGCAAGAGGAGGAAATCGTCCTGAAAATTGATAATTCTAGGCGAAGCGTAAACATTTTCTGTTTCCAATGAACGAAAGCGAAACTCTATCCTTTTGTCATCTGATATAGGCCAAGTCGGTAAAGAAATCATTATCATATTTGAATAATTTATTCACTTCAATCATCCCTTCCCATTAATCCATTAAAATTTAAACCAAAATATCGACGTTTCCTATGTGTACTGTACATCCACCATACGGATAAAACAAACCTCATAGCAAACAAAAGTGCACTTCTTTGTGATCGAAATGACTGAAAAGGCGGCGAATACTGACAACCTAAAGTTAGGCTTTGGGGTGTGGTTGACGTTGTGTTTTTTGGTTTGCGTTTGGTTTTTGACCAGTTTCACGAAGGGCCGGAGGCAGTTCCAGAGTAACCTCAGCGTCATTGAAGATGGGTTGAAGAAAATGCAGAAGGAGGTAGGTGGCGCTACGATCGAGTTTTAGAGATTATTGGGTCATCTTGAATAATATGAAAACTTGCCTCCGGAACAAATCAGCAGCGTGTGGTCTGCGTCCGGTGTCAATATAATATGCTGGGATTTTCTACCCTAAAGTCGGCTGCACCTGACTTTAAAATTGCTTGCACGATAATATTTAAATGCAGTCGCATAATTTATGCTGTTTTTCATCAAATAACAGGACGTATATTTGACAAAACGCTTGTGCGCTTATATTGTTTTTTCATGGCAAGGTAGGCTTCTTTTCTGGTGTACCTCGTTGTTTTGGACAATTTTTCACTAATAATAATATAGGACCTGTGTACCGATATATACCTATTAGTTGCGATACTTTGTTCTGTATGCAAAATGCAAGGGCGAATTTAGACTTTTGTCTAGGGGGCGCGATATGTGGGGCTGGTAATTTTTCATCCTTAGTGGAACTTATCCTATTATTGCTCCTTAAATCCATTGTGTTCTATCTGATCAATGCCAGCTTGAAAAAAAAAACATGAAAAATGCTCAGAAATCCTTAGAAACGCAATATTTTATTATTGGGAACAAAATAAGTAATTGGCATTTATAATTAACTAGTTTAATAATGTTAAAGATTAAAACATAAAAAACTTCATTGCTTTGTTAACCGAAAAAAAAACGAGCATGAGCGAAAATTTCACATTATCATATGGACGCCAGACGAAACAAAGGAGGCTGTCTATATACCATCCATAAATCGTGTTTTGAGACCGTTTGCAGACTGCTTATAGACAAATTCCGTATAACTGGATCTACTATAGTGTGTACTAAGCTTAAGGATTAAGACTCTGAACTACCCATTAAACAAATCAAGTAGTTGGTGCAAATACTGACTTCTATTATATCAGCACTTGATAAAAATATCAATAGGTATAATAAATTATTATTTGAAATTCAATACACTCTTAGATGTTACAGTTATTCTTCAGACTCTTGTTGTCGAACTTATTCAAGTGCAGTACGGAAGCTCTTTTTTTGTATACTCCAACTACCACGAAGGCCTAAGTCCTAAACACCCATTGGGTACCGTGGGGCTATAGGGGGATACAGGGGAAAGGGGGAACGCCACACGGACTATGGCGAGGGAACACGTGTGCATGCAACATGCACACATTCTGGCTCCGCCTACGAGATCCGCCGGGTGGTACCTCCACGTTCGACAGGCAGAGACCGTCTACCACCTACGGACAATCACAACATCCATAGCCAAGAGAAAAATTTCTACTGGGACGCACAGCGCACGGCGACTGATCAGGAGACCGAAGAGTCTACTACTGCGGCCACCGCTGCTGCCTACACCAGCTCTGTGATTTAAACGAATTCGATATAACAACATCCATTCCAAAAGACTCTAGTCTTGAGTGTTTGCTAGTCAGTATTAATTTTAAAAAGAAAATGTTCTACAGTATATTCAGATAAGAGATAGACCGGACATAAACAAGACCACGTGATCATCGAACGCTGTAACATTCGGCAGGGACGTATTAAGAGTCACGCAGTACATATTTTAGATAGTAGATGCTGCTTTGCGTAACTTTGTAGTAAATTAGCACAATTCGATGTGTATACGATTGGTGATGGATATAGGATCATGTGGGGGTGGGGTAAGAAATATATAATGATTTAAATATACATAAGGGTTTCAAAATTTTCGCTTCGATTTTGAGCTTCAAATGCCGCCTGATGTTTGGTGAAATACAGTCGAATATAATCTCAAAATGGCGTTTAAATTAGCCTAAATTAAAAATAATCGTATATCTCTTAAAATTGCTTTTATAATATTGATTAGTATATTTTTTGATTTCTAGGTAAATATATAACCAAATTAAAACGTTCAAAACGTATAAAAATGTGCATGGTTGAACATTGTCAGAAAGTAGGTTCTTGAATAGGTTTTGCCAAAATGGGTTCAAAAATGTCAATAATTAATTAAAAAATACAGTAGCTTTATAATTACTTATAACTTACCGAATTTGATGAACGACATCTTTTATTGGAAAGATGAGCTTGGTGAGCTTTCATCATCGCTACTGCCTGAAGTACCAACGTCAATAATGAATGGCTCGACTTGTTCCTCTAAAATATTGTCCAGTTCCCACATTCTGTTTTCAACTTTGTCTTTCACGTGCTTAATACAGTTTTCCCATTTTTGCGCTGTTATTAATTCTAGTGCTTCTTTGAAAAGTCCTTTGAGGTCACAAAATTTAAAAGTTGTATTGTGCTTAGCTATATAATTTTTAACCTCTGCCCATATGAGCTCAATGGGATTGAGCTCGCAATGGTATGGAGGTAAACGGAGCACAGTTTTATTTTGACTTGCTGCCATTTCGTCAATGGCGTATTTTTGATATTCCGCCTTGTGATCCTTGACAATTCTTAATAATTGTACTTTCAGCATTGCTTCTTCAAAGTTGATATTTTTTGAGCGGAGCCAATTTTGAACATCAACTTTCCTTGAAGCCGTTGTTGGGACCTTCTCCATTCTTCGAGAATGATAAGGCGCATTATCCAACACAATTACTGCGTTTTCCTCTAAGTTCGGTAAAATTTTTGAAAACCACTGTTCAAACGATTCGCCATTCATTTCCTCGTGGTAATCTCCAGTTTTCTTAGACTCAAAGCACCACAGACCGTCGACAACAAATCCATCCTCACTGCCAATATGGCAGATAATGAGCCTTTTCCCTTTACCTGGAAATCGAAGTACTAACTGGTGTAGATTTATTTCAATAAGCGGACCTTTTTCAAATGTTTTCATCACATTCAGCGAAAAAACATTGAGACATGAGTATCAGATTGCTATAATTGGGATTATTTAGTCATATTGAAAGAAAGAATATTGAACGTTGTATGATTACTCAGCGCTTCACAATTTAATTTAAATTTATAAACCTTTAAAAAATGAATGATCAGGAACCTGAAATACGCGCAAATATTAATATTAACAAATTATAACTTTATAAAGCTTAAAGTATGAATTAAAATGATTAGAAATATTAGGAACGGTACACAATATAAAACTTAGTAACTTTTTTAAGTTTATAATATTCGACATATTTTAAAATTATATTAAAAAATTATTGAAATATCGAAAACACATAAAAACATGGCTTAAAAAAGTTCTAACAAATGAAAATGACAATAAAACATCCACGCATTTTATCGAAAGTTATAAAAGTTTTGTTACTTGTAATATGTTTTATCTGCCCCTGGAATTAATGTTTAGAACCTTGTTCCCAGGGTTTGAAAAACATCCGATTGTTGTCTATTACTCGTATTTACCTGCTGGATTTTTTAATCCGGTGGACAGTCCATCTAGAAAGGCCCTCCTGGATGAAGTGACAGAATCATCAACCCATACTTTACTTGTAGTGTGTCCTGCGTTTACCCATGTTTCATCAAGGTAATAAATCTTCCTGTTTTGATTTCTATATTTCCCAATTTTTGTTAAATAATCCCTCCTCCATAGCACAATTTCTTCTCTATCCAGTAGTAAACTATTACGACCCCGTTTTTTCCATTTGAAATTTAAATGCTTCAGTAACGCATGGAAAGTTGATCGTTTGAAATTTGGCAACGTTGTATCTCCATTTACCTCCTGCAGTACTTTATCTATGGTAGATATTTCATTCCTAAAGAAGAATTCATGCACTTTCCTCCTAATCGCATGCTTATCAGCTTCATCCAATGATTTAACAATACTTTTGCGATGTTTACTGGTCATTGGCTCAGAAAAGGTGTGATTTTTTTTGTATTGTCTTAACACATTAAACACTGATGCGCGACACACCCCAACTTTGTGAGAAACCTTCACAACAATTTCTTTGATGGTTGATGCCTCGTTCTCCTCGCGCTCGATCTTATATATATTCAAAATGACCTCTTTCATTTCTGCACTCAGCTGTCTTTTTTTAGAGCGTTTCCTAGGTGGACTACAGGAGTTTACAACTTCATCGGCAGTATCTGTACTACTGGGCATTTTGCGCAAGCAGTTGATAACAATAACAATCAATAACAAGGTATAACAATAACAACGACAAACTCAACAACTTAATAAGATAACAAACGAAAACGTCCAAAGAAATATCAAATTGCAATGATGCACACGACATACGTAACACGTCTGAACCTGAATGTGACTCTGCCTTGATACGACTGCTCTGCCGCTCGGCATAGGCATTTAATTGCGAATTGACCAATGAGGGCTCCTGTTTTACGTCGAGACGGCGGCGTTAGCGTGAAAATCACCCGAACCTTTTGTTTACATCCGGTCTATCTCTTATCTGAATATACTGTATCTATCTGTAGTTTATGTTCCACCAAACGAAAAGTCTCATACGTAGGTATATGTGCAATTCCTCAATTCATTTGAAAACATTTTAGATAAGGATGAGGATGTGATAATTTTAGGAGATTTTAACCTACCATTTTACGTAACCCAAGGCTGTGAAAATAGCATGTTGTAGAATAATCTTACGAGTTTATACAATCTGAATCAGATTAATACTGTGCTTAACAAAGGTAACTCGATCTTATACTGTCAAATATCTCTATAGTTCAAATAGCAAAATGTGAAGACCCACTTCTAGATGAGGATCCGTACCATCCTGCCCTGAACATGTTTATACCTGTATTATTAAAAACTAAAACTAGTAATGTTTACAGTCAGCCTGGATATATCTATGATCTATGATTACTCAAAAGGAGATTTTTATAAGTTATACAATCTGTTAGAAGATGTTGATTGGTCAGATCTTCAGAAAGCTAAAGATGTGAATACATGTACTGACTTATTCTATGAAAAGCTTTATGGATGTTTAAACCAAGCGATAGCCAAAAAAGCAGTGAATAGAGTCACATATAATGGTGGCAATTATCCAACTTACTTTTCCTTGGCACTGAAGAAAAGCATTAAATTAAAAAATGGTCTTCACAGAAAAATTA